GTTACTTCTTTAATATAGATATCGCAGTGAACTATGAAGAACCCGCCTGTTTAATCAACCGACAGAAACAGGTGTCAGTTTGTGGTAAACAATTAAGTCATGCGTGCTGCTTCAGTTATTAAGTCTACTCAAAAATTATTACTCTGCTCTTGCCCCGTTGATATTACCATCTGGGGCTTGTGCAGACCAACGTGGCGGGGAAACTGCATATCGGTCTGCTCTTGCCCCAGCTTCGTTTCTTGTTGAATTCATTTTGGTTTCACACTTATTGATTTATTTGAATGACCAGTTCGTTCAGTCAAACAAGATTAAGACTTCTTTCAAGGACGAAACCCCCGGTGTTGGTTTCTTGGGTTCAGCAAAAGAAATAATTCGTTGATAAAAAAGCCACAGAGCGAGGAGGTAGCCCGCAAAGGAAATTGTAAAACTTTCATAATTGACATATATTTCACACTGTCGGAAAATACAATCAAAGAGTTAGAGTTAGAAAACGAACCTAGTAGAATTTGGAACCTGGACGAAATAATTTTCAATGGCAAAAATATTTGGGACCAGTGGCAGTATAAGTACATACTTAGTTTATTTTGTTTTGGAGTTTTTTTTCTTATATACTTACTGTATAACAGTTTATTTACGAGTACAAAAGAGCTTGCTTAAATATTCCACAATACGCAGATGTTTCAATCAACCAAACCTTTGCTGAAAATTTCACCAGAAGATGTCTGTATTTTTCAAAGAAAACAACTCTGAAACCAAGCAAGATAACTGAATGCGACGAAAAGTAGTTGAATATAGACTTGTTATAAATTACCTCGTAGAGGTTTGAATAAGGTTTCATTATGCTTTTAACTGGCACGTACACTCTTACCCCGTTTTGACGGGAAAGTGCGGACTATTGACTATTGTAGTGAAATTTTCTGTTATTATGTGAGTATAAAAGTAAAAACGGGGACAGTGATAACAAATTGTCCGAAACAATACTTACATAATGCTTTGTTCACCAGCGATATAACGTATTCCTGTTACACATTGGAAATTTATAGGTTAAGTCTAACTTTATAAAAACGAATCTGCACTCACCCCACTCCACCTTATCCCAGATTTCTCATTCAATAATGTAAAAGTAGAACGCCAAAGAGCTTTTTGCCAAAAAACTATTCTCTACTGAAAAATTTCCTTTCCATTTTGTGTTTTGTTATCCATAACAAATTCAATATACAATTTTTCTATATTTTTGTCTTCTTCTTTTCAAATCAGATATTCGATAGAGAATCGAATTCAGGTTAGGTCCAATATCTATATATTCTACCAATTTAAAAAGATTATTTTGCCACATAAGTGGATTGAATACGTCATCCAGTTGAAAAGCGCAAAAGCAATGAAAGCCTTGTTGGGGTTCTCTGAAACAACAAACACAACTGATTTTTGTAGACGTCCAGTGAAAGGATTCACGCTCCCAATGTACCTGCAATCCAAGTTTGCGTGTTAACACAAGATATCTTTGAACAAACAATGGTCACAAACAAAAGCATAGTCAACTCACCTAACTATTGTCAATATCCTCAACAAATATATGTTTTACGGATTATTGTGTTTTATTCTGTTTGTCAAATGTCACTTCAACCTGTAAAATAAGTAAACAGTCTTAATTGACAGCGTGCATTTCTTTCCGCTGAGAAATTCCAAGTCTCAGTGAATACTTGAGAGATTGCTCCATTGGGACTATTACAGAAGTGTGACTTGATTATGATTTCAAATTTCATTTTTCAGTAGAAACAACATTTTTGCGACTACGAAACGTATGGTTTCATTCCGAAATTTTCTAAATCGTTTTACTAGGGCAAAACACTCTCATATTTAAATCATTCACCTACAAAGCAAAAAAAAATTGAATTAGTAGAATTGTAAACTGACTTCATTTCAGGAACCAAATACGAATATTCCTTATGCGTTTTTAGGAATTTGATTGGGATAACATTGCATTATGTCAGATTCCTCCACGAGATGATTCAACAATCTATTAAGGGTCTATTTCATCAGTTCGGACTTCCATTGTTCAATAAAATATAAATTGATTTGAAAACCCTGAAAAGAAATTATATTAGACAATGGAAGTCCGAACTGATGAAATACACCACGAAACATTGAAATAAAACAAAGGGTGTGTGAAAAATCATAAAAAAAAATTATTCGTTTGAAAGACCTGTTGATGTCATTATGTGTAATAAATAACATCGTTCAAATGTCCGTCAAAACTTTTTGGGTGAAGCGCATCCGAAACGTGCAACTTTCCATGACTTTGGCGCATAAATATGAGCCCATCTTGCATTTGCTCAGATGCCTTGCGTTACCCGACATAAAAGTGAGATGCATTGAACAACTGATACCACTTTGGCGAACCTGCTTTACCATTACATCTGGTCAAGCAAGAGTCCAAACAGGGTGGGTCACTTTCAGAAGGGGTGTATTTCAGGGTGATTTCCTCAGTCCTCTTCTCTTCTGCATCTCACTATTGCCATTATCCGTTGCGCTCAGAAACACTCGAGGGTATAACTGTGGCACCCCCGGAAACTGGAGGCACAAGGTCACCCATTTGTTTTATATGGATGATCTTAAACTTTATGACTCTGGAGAGAAGGATCTCCATCAGTCCTTGAGGGTGGTGGAAGAGTACACGCATGCTATCGGTATAAAATTCGGGATATACAAATGTGCAATGGTCCATCTCAAATAAGGACGATTCGGGGACTACGGAGAAGATGTGCAGCTCGTAGATGGAATCATCTTACACCATCTGGATGCTGGAGAGACGTATACTTACCTCGGGGTGGAACAACGTCACTCACAAGAGGTAACAGCAGTGAAAAACTCTCTCCGCGGCAAGTATCAGCACAAACTTCGACAGATCTGGTCATCGGAACTGTCGGGGAAGAACAAAGTTGCTGCAACAAATATGCTTGCCGTTCCAATCTCACTCTACTTGTTTGGAGTAGTGAAGTGGACTTGGGAGGAGCTGTATCAACTCGACTTAAGACCCGAAAAATAATGCATCTCTATAGGAGTTTACATCCCAAATCGTCCGTTCCACGGTTGTACTTTCCCCGACAACAGGGAGGCCGTGGACTTTTGATTTTGGAGTGTCTACATGACAGAATGGTGCTGGATACAGCCTGTAAAGTCGTCAGAAGTTGGGATCCCCTTCTCTGCATGATCCGTGACCATGAGAGAGTAGGAATTGGAGAATATATCTGGCCGATACTTTATGAAAATCCATATTTCAAAACTAATTAATACACTTCATTGTTTAATTTCACTTTAAACGGTTATACAAAAATCGCGACACGTGTTTCGCTATACAATAGCTTCTCCAAGTTCACAATACCTTGATGAAGCAATTGTATAGCGAAACACGTGTCGCGGTTTGTGTAAAACCGTTTATAGTGAAAATCATACAACTAAGTGTATTAATTAGTTTTTTTTTATAAATGAATTTATTGACAGCAGAAATAACATGATACAATATGGGAAAAAAATACAAATTTGTCAATAGGATTCAAGATTGAACAGAGTTCATTCTTTCTCGTGGACCTTACAAGTATACAATTGGGAAAGATAAAAAACAAAAAAAAAACAAAGCACCTATAATTGTAATTGTGGTAGCGGGTACAACATTTCATTCGAATAATGAGGAGAGATGAGGCGGATATCGATACAAACATTAGAAAATCACTGATTGTTTTTTTCAAGGAAAAAATACAAGCACTTCATAAAAATTCTTAAGGCACTTTAGCAGCGATGTGTCTGTGCGAAAGGAGAAATTCACGTAGAATTTGAATCGCTGGAAATTAAATTCATTCGAAAAAATGTTCTCAGCAAGTTTATTCCATATAAACGCACTTCTCCAAAATAAAAAGTTCTCAAACAGTTAAATTCGAGGTGTGCTGAGTTGAACCTCAAAACAATGAGCAGCTATAGTTCGTCCCGTATATCTGATATGTATCGCTCTTGGTGAAATCAAATGTCTCAATATTTCAGACTATCAAAGTTGCAAATGAAGTCGCGTTTCCAATCAAGCGAATGGCTCTTTTCTGGATGGAACCCAACATCTTTAGGGTATGCTTAGGGGCGGAGCTTCACACCCGAAAACAATACTCCAAAGAAGGTCTGATCTGAGCTTTATAAAGCATCAAAAATTGCTGAGGTGTGTACAGTTTCCTGGTTCGTAATAGTGTTCCAAGCTTTTGGGAAGCAGCTTTTGCCATTTCTGCGATATGATTGTGCCAAGACATATTGATGTCCCCAACAAACTCATTGAAGCAGAAAGCGAAATTGTGTATCCTGACAGTATTATATCCAGATCGGAGAAATTTATCTTCTTGGAGAAAACCAATGCCTATGTTTATGTGGCGTTGAATTGAACCTGATTACTTTTCCCTCAGTTCTAAATCACCTCTGATATGCAAGATATGCAACCTCCTGCTGCCGGTGAAGATGTGCATCCACAGCCGATGTCCTGGAATCTGAATGGAATGACGAGACAAGTGTGTTGTCGTCAGCAAAGCAATCTATTACCATCTTGTTTTTTCCAATTGGTGGTCGATATACAATAAAAAGAGGATGGTCCACAATATGGATCCCTGGAAAACACCAGCGTTGACTGCAAATTTCATAAGGCATCACTATATTGGCTATGAACATTTTTCGAGGCCAAAATTACGCATAATTTCATATAAATACACGATATCTCAAAGAATTATTCCAGTTATCAAATCCAGTTTAACGAGCAAGATGGTAATTATCAAAAAGTTCCCCTATTGTATAATCCTGAAAATGACTCAGGCTGTGATTTCACGTTGTCACATTTTTTGTCATTATTTTTTTTATTATTCCGGGTTAAGGTTGGTCGAGATAAAAAATCTTTGAACGAAATAATAGTATTTGTTCATGACTAATATTGACGATAAGTTGGCATTTGTGGCTTCAGTCAAGCAAAGATCGCCATGTAGTTCATACGATGAGAATTTTCTCGAAGATCAACTTTGTTAAAGTTGTGCTGATATTTTCTGTTTATTGTTCAATTGAAAGTTCTGGTGATGGTGAAATTACTGAAAAGTAAGTGTACATTTCCAGATACATGGGCTTGGTTTGTTTGAGTAAAGTGAACTGGGAGTGATACCGAATGAATTTCGAAAGTATACTGGTTTTATTTAAACAACTTGTTCACGAGAAAAGTTTGGTATACAATTTCCAAATATTCTTGTTCTGAAAAATGTCAGTCTTTTATATATTGTTAAAGAAGTTGAACGACAAAAGTTTTTTTCCTAAAAAATATCTCAGAAAAGTATTTTTCATTGAACAAAATTCATATGACTGGAAATAAATCACATAGTTATATGGAGGATTTTCACATAAATGCAGTTCTTCAAATGAAAGAGTTCTCAAACAGTGGATCTCGATGTGTACTGAGTTGAACTTTAAAACGATGAGCAGCAACAGTCCGTCGCGTATTTCTGATATGTGATACGTACCGCTCTTGGTGGAATCAAATGGGCCAAGTCACTTGAACACTTCCCGTCAAAATATCTATAAAAGGAACATATCTCCAATGTTTCTTCGATGTTCCAGACTATCAAGGTTGGACGTGATGTTCGCGTCTCCAATCAGGCGGATGGCTCTTTTCTGAATGGAAATCTGCAAATTCAGGGTATGTTTTGGGGCAGAGCTTCATCAATGGCAACAATACTGTAAGAAATGTCCGATCTGAGCTTTATCAAATGTTGCTGAGGTGTGTACCGTTTTCTGGTTTGGAACAGTGTTCCAAGCTTTTGAGAAGCAGCCTTTGCAATTCCAGCGACATGATTGTGCTAAGATATATCGGTGTCCATTTCAACGCCCAACAAACTTATCGAAGCAAAAGCGGAATTGTCTTACCTGAAATTATTATATTCGGTTCGGAGATATTTATCTTCTTGGAGAAAACCGATGCCTGGGTTTTTGTGGCATTTAAATGAACTTGCTTACTTTCACCACAATTCGAAATCACTTCTGGATCCTCTTTGAGATATGCAATCTCCTCCTGCCGGTGAAGATGTGCCTCCGTATCCGATGTCCTGGAATCCAACTGGAATGACGAAACAAGTGTGCTGTCATTAGCAAAGCAATATATTGAATTATTGGTTTTATCCGATAAGTCTTTGATATACAATGAAAAAAAGTTGGGGACAATATGGACCCCTGGGGAACACCAGCGTTGATGGTAAAAGTATTCGAGAGATATCCACCGAGAGCCACTTACAGGGAACGTAGTTTCAGGAAGGTGAAGAGCCATACAAAAAAATAATTCGACAAGCCATAGCATCGAAGTTTGGTCAACAATCCCTCATGCCACACACGGTCCAAGGCCTTGGAAATATCAAGCGCAACAGCTCTTGATTCTCCATGTTCCTCTATTGCGTTATTCCAAATATGGGCCACATTGATAATCGCTTAAGATGTTCCAAATATTTGAGGATATGGTGGTTTTTCACTTTCTCCATGATTTTTTATTTCACTGATAGCAAAGCGACTGGTCTATATTTATTTGGAAGGTTTTTCTTGCCCTTTTTGGGAATAGGCGGAACGCGAGCAATTCTCCAACAAGAAGGAAAAACCCCTTTCTCATAAGACAGGTTGAAAACTACTTTTTAAGTACGATGACGGGCACCTCATCAGGACCACACGCCTTGTTGATATTGAACTGTTCCAGAATTCTCCTGACTAGACGCTGTCGAAAAGTTATTTCCGACATTATGGATTCTAGTGTGGGACATTATGGATTCTAGTGTGGAAATAGTGTGTGGTGCCTTTCCCAGAAAATCGACTGTGGAGTGGGACGCTAATTGTTCAACTAATTAATTTCCTTTTTAATGGCTGTTGTTGCAATTGAACAATCTGCTTGTGTTAGTGGTGGAATTGTGGATTTTGCAAAGTTCTGATTACCGGCTTTAGCCACTGACCAGCAGGATCTAGACCCTTTGGGATTGGCAAGCAGTTTATCCTAATTTTCTGATTGTGAAGTTCTTTGATTTCAATTATCCTAAGTGTGCAGCTGTTGTGAGATTTTATAAACCTAGTTCGTTTTTTGGCACTGGGATTTTTGGAGGCGACAGGTTGCTCGCAGTTTTTGTTGAACCAAGGTTTGTCGTCAGATGGTCGTTTCATTGCAAAAGGAGTGTATGCATCCATAGATAATAGAATAACTTCCTTGACTTCAGAAGCACAAGTTGATGGATCTACAACTATATGAATGGAACATTTTTAGTATCGAGAAGTCGTGGATTTATGAAGACACCCTTCAAATTTTCTTTTTCTGATCAACTTATCCATCATGTTTGAGAAGATTCCCGTTACTTATTCCCTAGAGAACTGTTTGTCGATATTATTTTCTTGTCCATGAACAAAAAAATATAAGCAGCCGTTTTTTGTTGTAGACGATGGTGGAAGCCCTCGGAGTTATATCTTGACAATTTTTTTTTATTCTAGACGCCTGAAAACATGTTTGTGGAAATTGTATAATCAGCATCACGGATTGTTTCATGAATTTTCATCAAATTACAGGTCAGTCCATTCCTAATAGGAATTTTCTATAACTAGAATATCTAGAAATGTTAGCACTTCGTTATTTTCTACTGGATGAGTCAATTTAGGGATCTGTTGTTTTCTTCTATGCAATAATATTTGACAATTTGAGTCATTGGACATCGTCAATAACTGTTTCTTTCAAATCTTCTAGAAATTCTGATTGTGTTTTATAGATTCAACCTCGTTGGTATTCAAACGAAAACTTCAAGCGGCCACAAATCTGGTAGAGGTCATTTAATGTTTCAACAAGACGGTACTTCTCTGCATTATGCGTTGATTGTTTGTCAGCATTTCGACCGAAATTTTCCACAGAACTAGATTGAATGACTTTTATGTCACCCCTGATTTTGAACGACAAATTTTCAAATGTAACATTTTCCAAAATGATCAGAGAAAATTCTAAAGTTTCGAGGCGAGCCTATGGAGAACTTCAAGGACTTTGAAGAAATAATTTAATCGATTTTCATGCTACTAGTTTGGAGAGACTATCACCCTTGCGTTTGAGTATAAGTGACCTGATCCAAAACTTTTTGTCCTTGAGTTTTTCAATCTCTGATAACTGATTCGATGATTTGTCATGGCCTCACTGCATGTAACTGAAAATTCATTTACAATAATTTCTATTCTAGTTATGTTTTCAGGAAACCATCAAAATCCACCAAAAGCAAGAAATCATTTGTGGCCGTTTTATTCTCAAAAAATAATACGGTTTTCAATGCTACTGATAACAAAAGAGGACTTTGTCGCTGGTTGAGAGGAATGAAACATCAAAACAAACTCTGCTCGAAAAAGGAAGGTTTGGCTGAATTGCTGATAGATACCAGAAAATTAACCATCGATTCATGTAAATTCCATTTTAGGTAAGTTTCAGTCATTGACCTATGAAAAATTCTTTTTTATTTCGTTTTAATTTCTATAGATTTCAGAATCAATTTTCTTTTCGAGAGTTCTTAGTTCATTTATGAGAAAAATTCGATCTCCCGTCTTTTTTTTCAATACTAAGTGTATTTTCCAGATACGAACATTGGCCTTGCCTATATCAGAAAAAATACTTCAGAAAAGTCTACCGAGAAACAGCCCTCATGTACTCTCTGACAACTTCGGCTTTCATGTATTTGGTGGCAAAAGCCTGTGCTTCAGGGAAATTGGAAAACTGTAAATGTGCTAGTCATGGAAAATCTACCAACTCAACAGAGTGGGAATGGGGAGGATGTGGTGATAACACAAAGTTCGCGAAAAAATTCACGTACAAATTCTTGAGACTCAGAAAAAAAGGTGATTTCACATTCTTGTTTTGTTGGCATCTAAAATAAATACAGGGTGACAGTTCGATAACTTCCCTATTATATTTTTCTTTCATAAAATAAGCTTGAAAGAATGAAACTGACATGAATCTTTCATTTTTTCATATCATTTTCTGGAAAATACTGTAGATAGGGAGTATCTGATAGACATCGTATGTCTAGAGATCGTATGCCTAGTGATATATCTAGTGAAAAGAGAAAACATTCAGTTAAAATACATTTATAAACAAATTTTATATCTTATATATCACATATTTTCAGGTGATGTCACCCAAAGAATTTTGAGATATAATAGTGAGGTGGGAATGAAGGTTGTGATGAAAAATGAAGAGAAAGTTTGTAAATGTCATGGGTTATCAGGTAAGTTTGAATAAATTCAATTCCTATGCTATAAATCAAAATTTCAGCTAGAATGAGATGCAAGATAAATGGGTATCAATTCTTTAATTTATGAACTCTCATATTAAAATGGAACTGTAAATTTCACTTCAATTCCGTAATTCTTATGAGCATTATTGTGATTTATGATTTTTACTTATGATAGTGAGACGTCAAGTACTTTTTTTCTTGTTCTATTGTAAGAAATATTACAAATGTGGTTTTCCTCTGAATCAAAACTCTTCAACAACGAAATATTTTCAATAGAATAATATCTCGTCTAATACAACCTATGTACTGGAATGTGTGTAAATTAAATGTTATTTTTTATCGGTGAATATAATTGCGTAATTTCATGGATTAGGAGTCCTAAAAGTACTGGTCGATAGCTAAAGCTGTTAATTAGAACTTTACAAAATCCATCGTCGTATTTTCATATTGCATATTATTCAACTTGTGCTAGAAATTAGAAGGCAAGACCTCGTTAATTCCCATGTAATTTCGACTTTTGAAATTTCTCATATGAAAGTGGGCACACATCAATATTGAAATTGAATAAAAAATATTAGAATACATCTTCCACTAGAAATATATACAGAGACTCTTCAACACAGTTTCCACTGAAAGTGGAAACGGTTTCTGATACATCAACTTATTTTTGGCATAACTTTCGAACCGGTATATACTCATACATTGTTCGTTATTATAAGAACTTTTTTGGTACAATCTGAATATAGAAATCATAAACATTTCATTCAAAAGCACTCTTCAACTCAGTGTACTGAATATTGTTGAATAATTTAAACAAACCCAATGCATTGGTACCTACATAACATTTCCATATGAATTTTTTTTTATTTCACTTACTCAACACAAAATCCATATATATTTATATATGACACATACTATATATGAATCAATCAACCATAACTGATTATACTTTCAAATTGAATACAAGTAAATGACAAATTTTATTTCTACCCCTGTACAAATGAAAAAAATGCTTGAAGTGGTATGCCCACCGCCATCTCTGATTAAGTGAAAAAGCTAACGAAGTTCCAGAATGATGAAATCTGTAACTGAACTAAAAATACTTGATCGAAAGCGACATCTTTGAAGTCGTTGATGCGCTCCGCAAAGTCGGGACAGTTGTAGCCATTGTTGACACATTTTAATGAATTTATTATAGAAACGTCATCATTGAAATGAACAATCGAATTGTTATTTCATGAGTAACATTCAGCTCGCTTCAAATGTATGATATCAAAACAAAATCAAACAAATCAATTATTCATGTTTCAATTAGTTTATTTTTTGTGTAAGCGGAAGAATGTATGATCAGTATTCTCATTTGAATATTTTGAAACAAAAAACGAAAACAATGAATACCTGGACAAAATACAACAATATCACATTCAACATTGATTTTGAGAATTCTTTCTAGCTAGTGCCATCTGTTATACAGAAAGTGTACAAACATTTTCTGTCCACTTCCATTTGTAGAAGTGGAATAGGTATTTAGAAAAAAAACAGGTGGTTTACAGAATCTTCTTTAAAAACTGTTCAGAATGACAGACGCCGTTGATCTATTGAGAACCTAATTAAGTAACTGGTCAAGAAAGATTCATTGATCATCATATATCTATATATATATTTTGAATGATGCGACTAATTTTAAACCATCAGCTAGAATCTGTTTAATTTTTTTCTTGTTGAAAAGAATGAATTGACATATGTTTAATTTCAAGGAGATAGCATTGTAAAGGATGGCTATATTATATGAAAATGATGATTTGAACAACGAGTTTTCATATTTCGGGATTGAAATATTACTTTTATAACGTAAATTGATATTGTGCTGATCATGTCTGAATTTCACCTTCTTATACAAATTTGAAGGTTTCTTTATTGTAAGGATTTTCTGATGAAGTCTGCAGCAATGTAAAATCCTGCGTTTATTCATTGGTAGCCAATCAAGTTTTGAATTGAATTGATTGAATACGTCGATTGCCAGAACTAAGGATAGCAGGACCGTGAATACAGTCAGCAAAATTTAATTTTGAAAAGACTAGAGACTCGCATAAGTTGATTTTGCACTTTTTGGTTAGTATATTTCTATTGGTATAAAACAACTACAAACTGCAAAAGGCATTTCTCATAAGTTTAGAGATGTGTTTATTAAATCTTATATCTGTGTCTAAAATTACCCCAAGACTTTTCTCCAAATCGCTGAACAGTAGTGGGTTTCCATCAATTTGCAGCAAGATTTGACCCACGATCCGAGTTCGTACCGATTTTTTTCCAAATAGCATGGTCTTAGATTTTAGAGGGTTAATGCCAAGACAATATTTTTATGAAATTTCGTGTAATCTCTGGAGGTCCTCATTCATCTTTCCACATGCATATTGCTTATCAGTCTTAGAAAATTCATGGTATAATTGGGTGTCATCAGCGTAAAAATGACTTTTACAATATGATTTATACTCATGAAACTGTGATGTACAGACCGTGAAAAGTAGCAGTCCCATTATAGATCCTTGTGCGACCCCTGTATTGAGTGGAGTTGGTAGTAGTGAAGTCTCATTATCTATCATTACAACTTGAATCCGGTATGACAGGTAAGGCTTACGGAATTGTTAGCGAGTCCAATATAATGAAGTAAAGAAATTAATAATTGATGGTTCACCCTATCAAACGCCTTGAAGTAATCCAATAAGACTAAAACACATAGTTGATTGTTATCAATTGAATGAAAAATATTATCTGTCACTCTTAGCATCGCGGTTGTATAACAATGTCCTTGCCGAATACCAGAATGATGTTCCGGAAGAATGTTAAAATCAGTGAGATGTATACGTAATAGTTCATTTAATATTTTTTCCAAGCACTTCGATAAAGCACACAAAATATTAATAGGTTTCCGTCATTATTACATCTATCAAAAATAATTTCAAAATAATTTCATTTCAAACTTCTAATGAAGCTTGACCTATACTTCTTGACCTAAACTTCTTGAAGCTGTACCTATACTTTGCTACACAGACGAAACCGGGGAGGATCGCTACTGTTTTTATACTGTTTTTGATACTGTCTTGCACACAATAATTTTATAATAACCTCAGCAAAAATAAATGAATACATAACGTAATTGTTTGGAATTCAGAGAATTTTACTAATTAAATATAAAATTGGAGATGATCCCCAAACGATGCAGATTTTTTCAGTTCAGGAATAGTCGTTTTCCTCGAAAGATATATAATTTTGATTGGTCATTTTATCCATCCTGGGTTTCGAAATTCAAAATGACATTCAGCTCATTCTAATCCATACCTATTGTATATTTTGTTGATTATTGTAACTGATAACTATTCTCTTCACCATCTTATCTTCTTCATTTACAGGTTCCTGTAGCTTCAAAATATGTTTCAAGCGAGTGCGTTCTTTTAGTCAGATCACCAAGGAACTGGTGAACCACTACCATAGCGCCATCAAAGTGGACCCTGACAACGATAACTATGAACTGGAATTGAAGAAACATGACAAACACTTGATATATCTCGAGGAAGGTTCGAGTTTCTGCCCATCCACCATGGGGCGGCAATGCAAAGATGCCGACAACTGCGCAACACTATGTTGTGGCAGAGGATTCTTTTCTTCTACTCATAAAGTGAAAGAAAAATGCAACTGTAGATGGCGCAACGAGAGTACATACGAGATAGAGTGCGAGCAGTGTGAGAGAGAAGATGTTATCTACACTTGTCATTGATCATGTGATGGTGGAGTGGGCGACGCTCACTTTTCAATTCGAACGTCAAACATGAAAAAATATTTTTTTCTGACAAAATAAAACATAGTTGCAGATATTGGTTGTTTAATTCATTTATCGTGATGATCATTTGCACATATATTTCAATGACTGGTTGGTTTATAGGATACCTACTAGCAAACCGCCTGGCTCTGTACGGGTGCAATGATGATACTGAATATAAATTCACCCACCGAAAATTTAAAGGCATGAAGAAACAGTGATGGAAAGATTCTTAATGCACATCTACAGTATAAAACGAACCTGCACGCGAAATTTCATCTTCCGAAAATATACCGCTATAGAGAAACAGTGATGAAAAGGTAAATTTATTTTATGAACGCCACTTTTTCCCACGCGGCAGGCGCCCCAGTTGAAATTTATGTAAATACTTTTTAACTGAACATCCACAACATAAAACGAACATACATACACAATTTCCGCCTCCGAAAATATAGCGGTACAGAGAAACAGTGACTAAAAGGCAATTTTCATATGAAAACACTCCCCTTTCATCTCCAGTGGGGGCGCCCCAGTTGAGATAGTTATAAATCATAACTTATTGCACATCTACAACATAAAACGAACAAAATTTCAGTCTCCACAAATATAGCCGTACGGAGAAACAGTGATAAAATGGTAACTATATTTCATGAACGCCCCTTTTCCCCCGCTGCTGCTCCAGTTGAAATATTAAAAAAAATTATTTCACATCTACAACATAACGTGAACCTACATACAAAATTTCTGCCTCCGAAAATATAGTGGTAATTTTCATGTGAAGGCTCCCCTTTTCCTTTCGCTTGGGGCGCCCCAGTTGGAATATTTGAAAATCCTTTCTTAGTACGTATCTTAGACCTGGGAAACACAACGGAGAAATAGTACGGTGAAACAGAGATATATGAGTGAGTGTTATAAGTATAGAAGATTGTTCAGTGATTGTTTGAATCACACCGTGAATCACACATTGAAAAGTAAGATGTCGTTAGTCCTTAACTCCCACAAGTTTCGACCTCTGAGGTTTGTCGTTCGTAGGGGTGCGGCAGCTGGATAACGAAAAAAGAAAATATAACAATCAAACATAGCCGAAGACGATTGTCTAACAATCGAAACGTCGTGAAGTAACTTGGCTTCTTAATGTTTTGCTTACTTATTTTTCATTTCTGTTTCATTCTGTGGTCATTTTCATTTTGTATTTTATTCGTTCCATTGTATTTTCATTTCACTTTTTATCATTTGATATAATTGATATTTTAGCTATTCAATCTCAATCTACTTTTATTTGTTCTTCAATAGTTTTCGAATCATAGTACTTAGAATCATATTAGATAATGGAAGTCCAAACTAATTAAATTCACCATTGTTCAGTGAGTCAATATAAAAATATAACAAAATAATGGAATCCATGAACAGATTATCAAATTCTCACCTTTGGGTTACTGTCCTATCGAACAGTATAGCAAAATATCAGTAGTGATCAGCCCTATTCTTGATTATTCTCTTTCATAAACCACATTTTATTTACAATTTTATGGCGGATTTCCACAAAATGGACAAAACCAAAACAAAACAGTAACTGTGACGATTTCGGCAAAATAAAAACTTGAGTTGACAAAATAAGAAATATTTTGGAGACTTCTTGGCGCGGGAACTGTTTTTGTCAACAACGAAATGTTTCGTCGGCAGGCGGAAAGATCAAAACGTTTCGGTGTTTTGTCTGTGTTTTCGTAAACAGATTTTGCTATGTGGAATTGGTCAGCGACAACAAAAGCAACTATTCAGTTCACTATTTTTTTTGGTATGTGATATCATCACTCCATTTAAAGTGTTAATTTGTGATCTCAGTTTTCCATTCTTTCCTATGTCATTATTCATCAAATCTGCCATAATTTTATCCGTTCCAAAATCTCTTCGTCTCCACAAAAATTAGAAATTTCACTAAATTTTTTCCACTTTATCATAATATGAAATCGAGATCATAAACAACTGAAGATTCAGAAAGTGAATTTTGTCAATTTGACTGAAGTTTTATTTCAAATCAATACACCTGTTCTGCATTTCAATGGGGAAAAAGTTGTTTGTACGTGAAAGATTCTACAACGGCATTCGCAGTGTTCTTGAATTCCGATGCTAGTGATTTCTCGATGATTGGCATCAATTCCTTGAGAAACATGTCGAAGTTTTTGTTGACGACATCATTGATCATTCCAACTGAAACAATTTAATGAAGTAATATATTACGGTAATCAGTGATATTGCTTCTGAAATGAATACGAAAGTAATTATATTAATGACATACATCAGTCTATCACAGTCGCGTAATGAGTATGGAGGTTCCTGACACAAGGTACAGGGCCTGCCGCCTGTCAGCATGTCCAGCATATGCAGTCTCAGCCTATATCCATCGACATAACGCGGCCCTGAAAGTACTTCATTACCGACCATGACACTTCCAAGGTATTGACAGTATTGACCTGAGTTGCCCTAAGCTCCGGAGGACATTGAATCCGTTGTGGGGAACAAGAAATGCTAAATTCAGTGGAACTATTGATTCTCCACCCTCAGGTTCACACAACCTAATAAGCCTGATGTGGTTCTTATTGACCATCAGAGCAAGATGGTATTTGTCGTGGGGTTTTCACCTCCTGACGAAACGAATATCGTCAGAAAAAATTAGGAAAAACGGATAAAAAATCAATATTTTCTCTTCAAACTCCACAGACTCTATTGAGACTACTCTGTCAATATAGTTGTTCTAATTATTGGAGTCCTTGGTGGAATGATGCCCTCCCTACTCTCGAATCTCAAAACCATATCGGCTTGCCGCACTGAGGCAGAAATTTTAGCCGGACAGATGCAGAAGGCTGTCATTCTTGGCTCACCGCGCTTGTTTTCGGCACATAATTTTCGGACCAAATGATCACTTATCTCACGGCGTGGGGAGTGGTCATTGGTTAAAAATGCTGGCGCGCCCTCCCGAATGTATCGGGACTTCGGAAAAAGGATCCGACTTGCGCAACCCTAGGGAAAAAATATATATTTGAAACCATTCCAATACATCAATTTTTCACCAAAATAATACTAATACAAAACCCTTTTTGAACGCTCTGTTGATAAATATTCATTTAAATTTGAGTATGCCAGATGAATAAAGGTGCAAATAATTTTATATATTATTGATGTCCAATATATTTTCTAATTTGTATCAATCAATAGTTGATTCCGCATCATCTTATTTTATGAAACATTTCATAACTTTCTTCTGCGGAACTAAAGAGAAATTAATAAATTTTAAATACTTCAGTGACAAGAATTTCTGATTTTGACATGTTTTCCAATTATGGAAGATATTCTATTACGTGAAATTTTTATATGTTCACACCTTGATGAATTATAATCTTTGTAAAGCCGAAAGACGTTAACATATGATAGATAAATAATTGTTTCAGTATGATACGCTGTAGATTGTTTCAAATCGTTGGATGAACTTTTTGTGATGAACATTAGATATGTTTTTTTATATTTTAATGATTTCACGAAAGAAAAGACTTTTTCAAACACTCGAATTAAAAAACAATCACTATGAAAAAAAAATAATATCAACAATACATGTCACTTGCCCCTCACTTTTTTATTGTCAACAGTTTTCAAGATTATAAATGAGAAATGAAACTTTGTTTTTTACTACTTTTATTTCTACTACCATTACTGCAGTTTCGTCCTATATGAGAATTTTCAAACTAATAAAATAAAACATAGAAGGTTTCATTTCTCATTTTCAATGATGATCTCTCCTAGCACCTAGTGACGACTACATCAATCATTTTAGTTTTCAAGATCATACTCGATTCTATTATTTCAATGCAAACAGTTAAACAAAGCATTTCAATACTGTGAAGATCTTTTGCAAAATAGAATCGATGTTTAATAATATACAGTGTGTAAAAGCCAAGTGGAAAAAATTCATTATTTCGGTGCATATTTTAACAAAATCCCGAAACACTTTGAATTTAAATTATAATTTGACAAACTTCAACGGAAAAATACTACCCCCGTCGAATGATAGGTACAACCCCCACTTTTTTGAAAGGTGTCTTTATTTTCTATTCAAAAATGTTATCGCTTTCAAGTTTATTGCAATAATTGTGGTTACCGAAATTCGATGAAAAACACTCAAAACTTATTGCAATACACTCAAAACTTCTTTCATAATGAGGTATTGATAGTAAGAAAGTAAGCAAAAACCATAGCAATGTTCTGTTTAGATGGCATCCTTTAAAAAACTGTGAATACTATCCATGGCAACGTTAGTTCAGAACGCCTTGTCAACTTGTTTTATATATTAAAATATCAATTGTCAGTATTTTAATTTAAGTTTAAAGTTTTTTAACTTCAATTCTGACAAATGGTTAGATTAACGGAAATGGTAAAAGTTTTACAAATGTTGGTTATGGAGATAATGCCCGATCTTACCCATGATAGCATATGGCTCGGTGATATGGTGGCTAAAGACTCAGCAGGCTGGGGCGATTCGAAGGCTAAGTGGCATTTAAAGGCAAGCTTGCCTGGCTGCCACGGGCGCTATGAGAACTACCCCAACAGCCGCATTAGAATTCTTGCTGAACCTAACGCCACTACATCTGGGGAAGCCAGGTCAGTCATCAGTAGAGTGACCAGAGGGCAAATGCCTATAAGCATGCTGCACGGTAAAAGGTACGACGAGCTAAACAAAGAGTTGGAAAACGACCCCATAATGGGAATGCCATCGGATGAGATGCTTCCCCAGTGAAGCTTCGGAAAAAACTTCGAAACAATCATAACAGGCAGAGAGGCATGGAAGGGAGGACCTCCAATAAATGCAGAGATTGCCTGTTACACAGACGGCTCAAAAACTGAAGAAGGTGTAGGAGCAGGAATATATATATATATATATATAACTAAACCAAAGACAAAAGTCTCACTAAGCTTAGGTAAAGAAGTGACGATATTCCAGGCAGAAACAGCAGCAATACGTCACTGCGCAGAAGAGTTATTAAGGCAAGAGTTTGAGGAAAAAACTATTGCAATATACTCTGATAGCCAAGCAGCTATAAAAGCAATTAGCTCTATGCAGGTCAAATCCAAACTGGTCTGGAACTGCCTAGAAAATCTACAAGAACTAGATAGTCAAAACAAACTGTCATTAGCCTGGGTACCAGGCCACACAGGATACAAGGGCAACGAAGAGGCTGATTCACTAGCACGAGAAGGAGCACAATGCTGCCCCATTGGCCTAGAACCCTGTTGTGGTACAGCAAAAGCGCTGCGAAAAACTTGTAACAGCAACTGGAAGGAAAAACAATGTCAAAAATGGTAGAATAAGGCGCCGGGTATGAGACAGGCCAAAGAGTTCATTAAAGAGTCATCGCCAAAATTCACCTACTAAGTCTGAATAGGCGATCAATAAGAGTTCTGGTCGGGCTATTGACGGGACACTGTAGACTCAACAAACACATGAACAACATCGGACTGGCAGACACAGCCCTATGCAGGCTTTGCCAAGAGGACGAGGAAACCTCCGTACACATACTATGCTATTGCGAAGGTCTGTCACGGATAACGTTTCCAACATTAGGGGAGGAAAAACCACAACCCTCTCAATTTATGGGGACCTTGAGGTCTGGCCTATGGAGTCTAGTTACAAGGACGGGCCTAGACTAGGAACTCTAGCATACATGAGGGCATACAAAATAGATCTGCAAAGATCGCAGTGTAGTGGTTGTTCAGCACAGAAGCCCCATATTACTCTAATCTAATCTAATGCCCGAACAAAACAGGAAGAGCTCGCCTATTTCATGGGAAAATTCCTAATTTACCGCCCATATCTCATGGAACAATAACCATAATAAAGAACCAGTTACGCTAGCTTGGTCATGTGGGGCAGATAAAAAAAGCAGCTGCCAATACAATGAGTGATGAACTCAAATTAGATGTGATGCTTGACTTTGAGGAAAATCCACATACATCGAGTAGACAGACATCCACTACATTCAATGTTAGCCATACATCAAAAGTAAACATATTAAAAGAAAATAAAATGCATCCCTATAAAATGATACCTGCTCAGGAGCTTATGGAAGACAATTTTGCTGAACTTATTTTTGTGAGCCAATGATGGACATGTTGGATAAAAATAGTATTCAATTAGAAGACGTTATGTTTTCTGATGAGTGTAGTTTTCCCCTTAACGGTTATGCTAATCGGCAAAATTGCCACTACTGGTCAACAGAAAATTCTCACTGGATGAAAGAAGAACACAAGCAATACCCTCAAAAGCCTAATATTTTGGGCAGGGATTGTAGAAAACCATATCATTGGTCCCTGTTTCGTTGAGGGAAATTTGAATGGCGATAATTATTTGGCACTTTTCCACAATGATGTCATTTCAAATTCAGCAAGCTCACATCCTCATCCAGGAAATCCTCAAGTTCTAGTGAATACGATATGGTTTCAGCAGGATGGAACCCCACCACATTACCACATGTCCGGTAATACCTCGATACAACATTTCCCAATCAGTGGATAGGAAGGCGAAGATCCATTGAATAGCCAGCGCGATCACGTGATCTTTCATAATTTGATTTATTTTTATGGAGATATGTAAAGAGTAATGTGTACAAAATTAAACCTTCAGATTTCAATGATTTAAAAGAACGAATAACACTTGCGATTTGGTCGGTCACTCCTGATATGTTAAATAATGTTAGAAGACAATTTCATTTAAGATTAGGATGTTCTCAAGGGTGGTGGTATTTTTACGTTGAAGAATGTAAAATTACACGTAATTTACATTTGATGTGTTTCGGCATTTTTTTCAAATATGTACAGTAACAGAAATGATGAATTTATTCCATTTGTCTTCCACACACTGTATTTCAACGTTTCAACGTTGACGTTCATATTCAAAGAATACCTGTCATGGATTGATTCAAATATCTGCAAAATCTACATCAGTAATTCGTTCTTTTGCGATAATGAATTGAGGTGGGTCTTCTTGTGAAATATGCTACACATATTTCATTTCACAAAATATTGGGAATACTTTACACAGATATTCACAATAAACTACTTGATATATTTTATGAATGAAAACACAGGCAAAAATATTGCTTACGTAGAACTTTGTCTCCATTGAACAAGTTCTCTAAACGAACAGAACCACCTCCCACATCCACCTTCAAATCAAAAGTAGGAAATCTCAAGTAATCATCTCCATCTTTCTGGTACAATTCCCCAGTTAGCTGAGCTGTAGCGTGTATATCCGCTGAAAAATAACAATTGTTTGTAATGAAGTTCTCACTCTCCATAAAAGGATATATCTAGTCATGTAGTCATGTAAATTTCAAATTATGACTTACTTATATTGGTTTCTAAGTTGCCATTTCCTTTGACTGGCATTACCAAAAGTTTACCATCCACAGTATAATGAGCTTCAATGCGTAGTTTGGGAATATCAATATACAATGTGAAGAGATGTGTGTCTAGATTAACACTGAAACATATTCAGATTTAGAATCATATTTTCCAGTAATTGGGTAAAAAGATGAAATGGAATATGCTGTAGTGCATAGGATTGCCTTTTATGTATCGGGATTTGGCAACTTTAGTGTTGCAATCTGGCAACTGACAGCTCTATCGTAAACTCGGACATTTTTGAGCTTATACACACTCAGAACAATTTGACATACGCGCGCTATTTGTTTTGTTTACTTTCGACGTGGAATAACTCAGCAACGGTGCATGGATGAACTTATTTCAAATTTTGGTGATGGTTTGGTGATTTCAATCGTGGTCGTAGTTTACTCCAAGACGAATTTCGTGAAGGTCGTCCAAAATCAGTTGTTGTTCCGAAATCCATTGATTGCAAGATCGTCATGTGACCTATCGTGAGATTAAGACAACCTTAGGTGGTAGTGGGACCAGCATACATTCAATATTACATGAACATTTGACTATCAAAATAATTCGTTCGCGTTGGAACCCACACAATTTGTCAATCACTCAAAAAAAGGCTCGTGTCGATTGATCGAAGGAAATGCTTAAAAAATACGATCGCGGTGCTTCGAAACACGTCTATGACATAGTGACAGGTGATGAATCATGGATTTACACTTATGAGCCCGAAACAGCAGTCGACTGTATGGGTGTTTCAAGATGAGCCAAATCCAACAAAAGTTGTTCGCGCACGAATCACTTCCAATCCTGTTTTTTCGGAAAAACTGGACATGTCGCAACCGTACCACTTGTACAACGTAGAACAGTCAATTCTGAGTGGAACACAACCATTTGTTTGCCAGTTGTCTTCCAAGAAATCAGGAAAACCAATCGCCGATGACGGATCACTCTTCACCACGACAATGCGACACATTGGCTCAAACAACTGCATTTTTGCGTTTTTGAGTACCCAAAACATCGATTTGATGAATCATCCGCCGTATAGTCCTGACTTGGCACCAAATGACTTTTTTTCATTTCCGCAGTTAAAAAACAAACTGAGAGGTCAACGTTTTTCGACACCTGAAGAAGGTGTTGCTGCATTCAGAATGCATGCTTTGGAGATGCCTCAGAAAGGCAAAAGTGCTTCGCTAATTGGTTCAAACGCATGCAGAAGTGTATAAATCTCCATGGGAAATATTTTGAAAAACAATGAAGTGATTTTCGATTATTGATTTTTGTTTTTGTTCTCTAATCCCGAAATATAAAAGGCAACCTTTACGAAATTCCTTCAAATTGAAGAAAATTAAACTTATTATTATTATAGGTGTGATTTTTACGGCATGTAAAAGAGTAGATTTTTCACAGAAAGTATACTAAAAGTCAAAATCAATGGAACTCGTTGACATATCCGGATTCAGCATCCCCAAAACCCCCAAGTAATTTCGATTTCGAAGTAATTTCGAAAAAGCCTGGCAAAAATGTGGAATACTTCTGTGAACCCACTTTGAAGTGATGTAAATGTGATTAAGAACTGGCAAGCTGCATTGAAGATAAGACCACCGGTGTATTGAGTGCTGGTTCGATTCCTGCCCAGCCCTGTCAATTTGAATCAGTGGTTTGCGTACGGAGTGCCTGTATTAGATACTCTAAATTTTAATGTAAGATGCTCAGATGATAATTCTAGTGTGCTTATAATCGATGAACTGTACGGTATCAAAGTCTTTATAGAAACTGTTCCATACTTTATTCCTCTGACAAAATAATCTGTGCAACCCCAGGCTTTGACATCATCAACCATGATTTTCATGCCGGCTGCTTCTTCAGAGAAAAAATCTTTCATAACCAATGGTTCCAAACTGGGAATTCTGTAGTCTGGAACACCTAGAAGAAAATACGTGATTAGCCATCAGTCTTCAAATATAAAAGAATTCTATTACCATCTACTAGAAAGGGACGAATGTCCTCTACAGATGCCAGCAGGCACTGTTCCAAATTAGGATCCTCCTTATGACATACATGCAAGAAAGAAGCTGAAACAGAAAAAACATTCAGTAAACAAATGAAACCGTTTTGTATTCGGTGGAATCCAATAGTCATCAGTGTTAATTGTTTGGCTTTCTCAGTTTGGTCTTCAAAAGTGGTCATCAGTTGTGCTTTCATAAAACTTAAAATAAATGAAAGCAAATAATTTCACAATCAGGGAATTGGGGATAAACCGCTTGCCAATCCCAAAGGATCTAGAACTTTCTGGTCAGTAGCTGAAGTTCGTAATTGGAACTTTACAAAATCCACAATTCCATCACTAACACAAGCTGATGGTTCAATTGCAACAACAGCTATTGAAAAAGTAAATCTACTAGCTGAACAACTTGCGTTCCACTCCACAGTCGATATTCTGGGAAAGGTATCAACCGCTTTCCCACAAGAATTAACATTGATGAAAATCACTGTTCGACAACGTCTAGTCAGGCGAATTTTGAAACAGCCTAATATCAACAAGGCGTCTGGTCCTCTTCCAAATAATCATAAACCAGTCGCTTTGTTAGCAATGATATTAAAAATCATGGAGAAAGCCGTAAACCACCAAATCCTTAAATATTCAGGTTTTAACATCTTGAGCGTATTTGGAATAAGCGATCGAGAAACATGGAGAATCAGGAGCTGCTGCGCTTGGTATATCTAAGGCCTTTGACCATGAGTGGCATAAGGGTTTGCTGGTCAAACTTCGATAATATAACTTGTCGGATCATTTTTATGTATGGCTCTCTAGCTTCCAGAAAGAACATTTCCTGCAAGTGGCCGTCGATGGATATATCTCGAATACTTTCATCATCAATGATGGTGTTCCTCAGGGAGCCATATTGTCTCGAACCCTCCATTTATTGTATATCAACCTTTTATTGGAAAACAGCAAGAATCCAATATATATCTTTGCTGATGACATCATACTTTTCCCATAATTCCGTTTGGATTCCAGAACTTTGAAGATTTCTAAGAAACATTTAATATTATGAATGTTCTGGAATTGCAATATATCAATTGAAAAAAATCATTAATACTTTCATAGTTCCCTCTGTCTATAGATGTCAGGAAATTTGCAGCTCTGTTCAATAAGAATTATGTTAAGAAATAGAAAACTCTAAAGGGATACCTTTTGAAACAGTATTATTTCCCAACGTCCGTATTGAGAATACAAATTAAGGTTGAAATAAAATTACTAACATTGAAAAAGTGACGAAAGTTAGAGGTATAGTTCACTACAAGTGTGAAGTGAACTGAATATTTCATAAATGCAATATTTCACAGTCGTTTATTCAAAAAGATTTTTTCAATACTGGAATTATTTTCTGTAATTTCTTCATGAATTGTTTATGATTACCAACAAATACATTCAAAGAAATCTATCAGCCAACTGTCAACATCTAACATATCCATTTGATGTTGAAAACTACAATTTCGAAAATATATACCAAAGAGTTTTTGTGGTGAGTCAACTGGAACTTTTGGACTTCCAGAATATTCAGTAGAATAAACAGTACTTTCGTGTGATTCCGTTTCTATATCTAACAATAAATTTGACTGTTGTAGAGAGTGAATGAGAAATATCATATCAGGTATCAATATTGTACTCACGAAGTTCTTCCTCCGCAACAATCACATATGCGTTCAAAAACACTGCAACAATAATAGCCCCCAGCATTTTTCCATGTGCCATCTATATCGCTATTCTTTACACAGTCCTTTATCAAACCAATAATTTTGTTTAAATAGTCCTGACAAAGATAATTGGTCAATTTATTTCCTGAAAATTGCAGAGCTAACAATTGATGCAATTATGCAACTCTGATATATCATCATTTCGGAAGAAAATTAATATTTACGTCTCACCTATACAACGGTGGATGGAGATTCTATGATAGTGAATTTCCTTGTCACAGCAAAAAGCCCAATGCCATTTTTAAATGGGTGGATAAACCTACTCAGGTGAATTGGTGGTTTTTATCCACCGGAGAAACACTTTTCTTCAGATTTGCTCAAAAACATTTTAAGTGCATATAGTGGGTGATATCAAGAAAAAATAGTGAGGAAATTGGGGAAAAAAATCGTTCTGATAGTCTTAGTGTATTGAGAACTGCCAATCTCATGAACCAACGCATTATAATAACACTCGAACAGTTTACAAAACCACTGTACGTGTTTCACTCTAATGTAGCTTCGATTTCATCGAACTGTCGAGTGGAGATCTCACAATAAAGTGTTATTCAAATATTTGATGGAATTGGCTCATACTTAGGCTAACCAAATCGTTCCTACAGAAAACAGGGACTCCCTCCATATTTTACTCACCCCCGTCCCCCCACCATAATTTACCCAGTACAAGGAAAAATAATTACTCATATTCAATTCTACAATATCAGATTAATTGTATTAATACTATTGAAACATTAATATTACTGGAGTTTTTTCCAAACACCAAATAGTTATTTTTTACACCTCGAACAGTTTTGATCTTCCTCTTTGAAGATGATCACTTGGTGATCGAAACACGTGTCGAGGTGTTAAAAATAATGATTTGGTGGTGGGAAAAACTCCAGTAATATTCATTACTACACCAAAGGTTCCAAACAGTGCATCATAAGTACTATTGAAACATATAAAATTAATTAATCAAAAATGAAACAAAGTTTGTTTTTCGTTTTCTATCAATTATTGTCAATCAATTTCAAATTCAACTCACATTTAATAATCAATTGTTACAGCACACTGCTTTTAGATAGGGTTGATTGATCTTGAAGAAAAGAGTATTTTTCACTACTTCCAGCCTTCTTGATCATGTCTGTTCTTCAAAACAACTGTAAAATTCCATACAGTTCATTTTGTAGTTTTACAGGATCTGCAAGATTGCTTCAGGCGTTTCCACTTCCATTCTATTTCTTTCATCAGTCCCTTGAATATTCATGAAAGAAAATATTCTTTTCTTATTCGCTATGGTATTGCAAATAGATATTTTGTAATCTTAGCCATCTCGGTGTACTGCTAAAAATTGTCATAATACTCAAAAAAACTCACCCATTTATCAAAGAAAATGGAATCATCAATTTCAATAAAAGAGTTACACACAGAACACTCTGCTCCGACCTCTCTTAATAAAGTTCCACTCTTTGCAATACGTGTCACTGAATTTGTACTGACGTGTCGGCATTGTGACGTATTAATTAATAAGAGAAGCCATTACTAACATTAACTTAACTGGACACTTGATTACGCTAACACTGACATAACCTCAACTAATTCCCTACGCACAGACTTGATCTTCTGTAGGTTTGCCCATGTTTTCTCTTCCCCGTGTCGTATGTATGTACAAAAATGTTAAACAAGAGGAGAATGAATTATTATTTTTATTATTATTATTAATCGCGCAAGACGCAAGACTAAAATAGTAAATAGTGATCTAGTGGCGTAACAAGCAGTCAATAGATGAACTCTTAGTGTTGTCAACTCCTTTCAAAACCGGGACTTTTGTGCGTCCCGAGAATATTTTTCTGGACACCATATGGCTTGGTTGAAAACCGGGACAATCCCGGTTTTCCGGGACATTTGGTCATCCTACACATACTTGATAAAAATCCATAACATATTCAGTAACCACTTTGTTATGAGATTTTCTATGAACAATTGACACAACCAAAACACGTGTTTCACTATACAATAGCTTTCCCAGGCGTGTTCATACTGACTATATTCTATGTAATCAGTGCTTTAGATTATATAACAATATGAATCATATGGCCTTCTTCCTACCTAATTAGCAATAATCATACCTGAGTTCAGGTATGAACCTATTGAACATGTAAACATTATGAATGAAACATATTTTCCGAGTTTTTTGAACCTGGTTTGCAGGTTTTTATGCTTTACGTTTCGTCTACTACTCTGGTATCATAATGTCTCAAAGGCGATGAGGTAACGATCGCACTGTTCGAGTTGAGGCTAGAGTTATTGTTCTTGTTGTTCCCAACTACAGTGCCGGTTTTATATTATTATTGGTGGGCCAGATTTCATTAATCTTTATTGCCTCTTCTTCTGTATTGAAAGTATCCCTGTATTTTTGAATTTCGATTGTCTCTGTATATACTCTTGGATAGTAATTTTGGGTTTTATTGAGTCTTAGGCTGATTGAGTCTTAGGCTGATTTGTCGGTTTGTCCGTGGCGACAATTTCTCTTGGGTTCAGAGAGATGGATACTGACATTATTGATACTATAGCAAAAAATAAAGACACAGAGCAAAGTTATGTGATTTATCGAAAGCTTTTTGATAGTCTCTGCCATGACAACATAACATCTAACACTCAAAAAATTCATCTTTGAGTGTCCCAAGGATCTGCGTTAGGTCCTCTTCTATTTATTTTGAATATAAATGATTTTTTCCATTATATGTTGACATTTCGGACACATTTCTTTACGCATATGATTCTTCATTTATAGTTACATCAAGAAATCCCAGTATATCAGAAGAAATAATAAAACAAACACAAGAAAAATGCGAACAATATTTTAATGCGAAGTTTGAGCAAAGATAAAACAAAAATAGATGTGCGCCCATATATACAGGTTTCCATATATACAGCAATCTGAACTGGAAAACAAATCATTGCATGTATTAAAAAACTTTCCAAACTACGCTTTGCCCTAAGGAGAATGAGGAGGGTGGTGAGCAGAAATGTTCTCAAAATTGCGTACTTTGGTAAAACACATACTCACTTTCAGCATGGAATATTAATATGGGGTTAAATATCAATAGCAAATGAAGTTTCTATATCTCAGTTGAAAATGATTAGAGGTATGGTAAGACAAACTTCAATTCAAGGCCACAAAAACCGATGTATCGGTTTTCACTAAAAAGATAAATGTCTCCGAACCGGATATTATAATGTCAAGACAGACCATTCCGCTTTCTGCTTCGATAAGTTTGTTGGGGGTCAAAAAGGACCTCAATATGTTTTGGCATAATCTTGTCGCTGGAATTGCCATAGTTTCTCAGAAGCTTGGAACACTGTCCCGAACCAGGAAACTGTACACAACTCAGCAACTTTTGATGCTTTATAAATCTCAGATTAGATCTTCTTTGTAGTATTTTCATAAACTGTACCATACGATTTGATATCCACAAACTTTATTTTTCGTAGTGTGAACATATGTTTCTAATACCATACAGCTACTAAATGAAGGTTGTGGAGATCAAGTCTTAAGGTGTATTTTATGGAATTACTTTGGATCTTCTTGTTTTGAAGTTTCGTGAAATGATAAATAGACAGAACTGAAAGTGAATGACTACCTGGATTTCATTGAATATCTATCTACCTGTATGTTTTAGCTGATATATTGTTCCTGAAATCAAACTTGATTAACCCTGTATGAAAATTGTTAGCTAAGTTGTTAGTACTCTAAATATATCACAAAAGTCAGTTTGCATTTTATAACAAAATTATTAGCTGCCACAGTAATTTGATAATTACTCTTGAATTCTGTATATTATTTGTTCCTCTTTTCCGTGTATTATTTTCCATAACTGCGACTGATGAACTGTAATTATGCAATTAGATAAATCAGTGATATTAACTATTTTTCACGAGAACACGTATTTCAGCAAGGATATAATAAACGTTTGAAACTTAATAATCTGAAACTACGAGGAACTTCTCTAATTTTCTTTGAAGTTTTGATTAACTTTGAGCACACCCACCAATTCGAGAAATAATATGATCATGAGCTTAATGTATAATATATAATTTATATTACAAACATATTGACAGTAGTAGTTTCGGATACGTACTACATGGGCTAAAGAGTCTCGGGGGTAACCCCTAGATGGCGGTAGTCTAATTGCATTCACCGAATTTCCAGTTAGTACCAACCTTCAAAAGAAAGCTGTTGAAATTTCATGATATTCTATTCATAGGTATCTGAGTTATTGTGCTAAGAGACACTACTTTTGTTATTTTCAAAATAATAGATGGAAACAATTGTGTTTCCATTTTATACTGCTTCCTGATGAGAAAAAATATCGTTGAAGCAAAGCAATGGTTCAAAAAGTGTTACGAGGACTCGGCTCCATCAGAAATAACAATTGAACGTTGCTTTGCTAACCTCAAACATGGTCGTACAGACACCAACGACACCAACTATGCAGAACGCAGTGAATGTCGAAATGAGGCAGTAACACCAGAAAACCTGAAAAAATCCACAATTGGATTGTTCAGTGCTCAAAGAGGTTTTTGAAAAAATTTATTCCAGAATAATTTACAATGTTTAAATAATAAATAAATGGCTAATCTATTCTAAGAACTCGTCATAAGGTACATAATTGAATAACTTATCAGCGAAATCCCTTATGAGAATCAACAGCTTCTTCTTCACGTGGGGTTTCATCTCTCTCAGAAGCTCTTGACTATTGGAATTGATGAACAAGTTTAATGCAGCCTCTGAAATATCAAATAAATTCATTCAAGGGATTTGTAAATATGTCAGTAAAATATCGAAAACCCTATTTTTCATTTTCATTAATAAAAATCGTTCCAATGAACATATGTCCGGAATTGCTTTGTTACTGAGATACAGGGCGTTGAAATTTGAAGAAAACAACAAAATTTATGAAATGTCATAAATATCTTCACACCAATTCGGATGAAATTTGCGAAGTAGATTGAAATTATCCGGTCCAGTGGCGTCTCAGTAGGCACCACAGGCAACAATATTGAGATAAAAGGGAACGCCACTGAATTTTTTGTAGTTTCCTATTTTTTCAGATTGAGCAACGGAAAATACAACATTTTTGTTGCTTGTGTTTTCCTCATATCAAGCTTAGTTCACGAGAAAAAAATCACTTCTGAAATATACCCAAGGACAACATAAAATAAGAACAAAAAATAATTAATAAACAATTTCGACCTCAAAGTAAATGAGCAAAATGTCCTCCTTCTGATAAAATACACGACTGCAATCGATTTTTCATTGATTGTCTGACACGTTCCAAAATACCTGGAGCACTCCTTATGATATTGCAATTGTCAATTATTCGATTCTTCGTGTCATTCAAATCTCGTACAGGAGTTTCATAAACAAGAGCCTTCAGATGACCCCATAGATAGAAATCTAGAGGGTTCGTACCAGGACTGTGAGATGGATAATTTCAATATGCTGCACGTCCAATCTAGCAATTACGATAGGTGATGTTGAGATGCTTACGAGCAAGAACACTGAAATGAACTGGAGCCCCGTCGTGCATAAACCACATGTTGCCTCTCACAAGTACCGGCACTTCTTCTAACAAAATGGGTGAATGATCTCGCATAAAGTCAGTGTAGGATTCACTTGTTATTCATGCTGGTAGAAAAAATGTTGCTGAATGAATCAAATGAGTCAACCACCTGCAAAACATCAACTTTGGGTGAAAATCGTGAGGCAATAGAGCTTGGACCCGTGGTATGTGATATGGGTATTGGAGGTTTCATTTTAGAAATGGTCTATATGGCTTTGAACCGACTTCCAGCTGCAGTGCAATCTTCTATCGCATCAAGTATAGCTTCTTTTAGTTCAGACGTAGTTACAGTTCCAGGTCGTCAATAACCTGCATTTTTATTAAAACTCAAAGTTTCACATTATCTCGATGTAGCGTTCTAAATATTTTAGCACATGGAATTACTCTGTTAAGATAACTTTCCTATAAATTATCCGTACCTACTTCTACCGCATTTCCATTTGCTAATATATGCATAAAGTGCATGCCAGATTTTTCAGCGTTAGTAGAATTATTCATCATGGAATAACTGCTTATTGATAACTCTGACTTTCACTGATATGACAACACTATCACTGTCAGCTGGTCTCTAAAGCAGGTTTTCAAGATATGCAAAGTATCTTCAGTTTTGTTTGATCAAAAATTAAGCTAGATCTGTATCTGTAGAGTAGGGAGTGTGAGTGTAGGCCCACAGCACTTAGGCCACATGTGGCCCATTGTACAACCTCCCAAGAAGTTGTCCTCCTAGGTCATCGCCCACCCTGTACTTTTCAGGAAGGTAGACAGGTCACTAGGAGACATCTCCTTTATATCGGCAGGTGTAGGCCAAGACTCGCCGAACACACACTCTCTTATTGACAGTAACTCCGGACACTCGCATATAACATGCCTGACAGTTTCATCTTCCTGTTCACACATCCTGCATAGAGGTGTTTTTACTAGCCCCATACTATGGAGGTGTTTCCTTAATTGACAGTGGTCACTCAGAAATCATACGGTTGAGCGTAGATTTTTCCTGGTCATCGCCAGATATTTCTTCGGCGCCAGCCGCTTCCTTGGCTTAAGAGTCGGCAATGCGATTGCCTTTAACCTACCTCAGGATGATGTTATTATCTACCGAGGATTTGGCTGAATCTTGGTGGCACTCTAGCACAAGCTCCGAGGTAACACGTTGTCTGTTCAAGGCTAATACTATCAGTGCAGATTGTTATGTTTTTGTCAGAGATTCCTTTCCTGGTTATTCCTTTTGTGACGATTGAGATACCAGCCAGTTCTGTTCGAACCACGCTGGTATTTTTTCCCATTCCCCACTTAATCCTTAGGCCTAGTGCTCTGGAGACACTCCACATCCTGAGCCTTCTTTAGTTTTTGAGCTGTCTGAATTTATGCGTATTGCATTTGCAGCATCTGACTCTGTGTTCCATTTCATTTGTATTTTGTAGGGTTCATTAAACACAAACCTGGGTTCAATTGCATTACAGGCTGCCTGCCGCAGAGGTTGTGCAGTAAGCGCAACCTCTGCTCTGAAGCTAGATATGAATAAAACACAAACAACGGAAAAGTTGTATTTTCGGTCGAATAATTTAAAAAATTAAAAAAATATATCAAGTCAGTGGCGTCCTTTCTTTCCCCAATATTGTTGCCTGTGGTGACCACTGAGACCCCACTGGACCTAATAATTTCAATCTAGTTGAGACTTAATGAGTACCTTATTGCTTCAAATAACTGTAGCAAATTTCAATCAAATCGGTGTGAAGATATTCATGACATTTCAAAAATATCGTTTTTTTTTTCAACTTCAACGTCCTGTATCTCAGAAATGAAGCAACTCCGAACATATTTTATTGTAGAAACGACCTAACAAATCACCCTCAGAAGTTTCGTACCGTTTGTAAAGATACTCAACAGAAATCTAATTTTTGAACACAGTTTGTCCTGGATCTTCTAATATTATGACAAACTATTTTGACCGATCCAAATCGTTGTTTACTTTTCAATCAATCAATCAATTTGGGAGACTTTGATTACATGCAGAATTTTGAAGAATCCCAAAAATCAAAATTCGGTAATGTGGAACCGAATTTTGATTTTCTGAAGGTCAGTTTCTCCCTATTCCATTAATATTATCAATACAGGTTGCTTCATAGACTGATAGATAGTCAGTGATTAGTAGTAAAACAAACTCACCATATTCTCCCCAGTAATTTCCACCACCGGTTGCTTGGATTAAAATGAGTACTCCACTAGATTCATATTTTGCTCTAACGTTTATTTTTGGTATATACATGGTCAACTGATACTGGCCAGTCTCGATATCTGATCTGCAAAGAGTTACAGAATATTATGTTCAGTACTTATGAAGCCTCTGAAATGAAATATTTCACAGAATCAAATTATCAATAACACCGTTATGATCCCCAAAATGCATCATAGTTTTCAATCGAGTTGCTATATGAGGAGAACTAAGTACTTCCATAGAACGAAGATGTAATTCGAAAGAGTGAATCTACACCAACCATACAAATGGTAATTGAACTAAGAAGTAAAAGTCAAATTTCTCATTTAGCTTTTTTTCACAATTTATTAAAAAAAATAGTTTAATCATATATATTTTTGCTGGAAAGTAGATGATTTCTTTCGAATATACTTTCTTTAATAGGAAGAGGGTTTGTATACCTATTTCATTTGATATATCTTTCAATTCATTGTCCAAAAACGGCCTATTTTTGGGAATCTGACCAGTCGTTTAAAAAGATATCTCTCCACGTCAACTTTGTCGGATTTTGATATCTACTCTCTGTTAAATAAATATTCTGTGTGATATGAAAAACATTTTTATCGAAAACAGACTCAAAAAAAGATCATACATTTTGAAATATGATTCCAGAACAAGTTATGGAAATATTTCGGCTCAATTAGTAAACCACGGCATTGAATATGCTTGTGAACCAGTAATTCACATATCTCATTCTTCCTTCACTATCAAGGAACTACTGTGCACCTAATCGTTTTCAAAATTACCCAGTTATTATTCTACGGACCAGCGAAAAATTAGCCAGGCATTTGGCAATGATAATGTTGATGAATGCACTGTTCGACGTTGGTTTGCAAAATTGCGTTCTAGAGATTTTAGCCTCCAAGATGAGCCCCAAAGTGGTCGACCTACAGTACTCCAGGACCACGATTTGAGGTCCCTGGTGGAGACTGACCCATCACAAATGTTATGTGGGATGGCAAAAGAACTGCTCGTCAGCTCCCATGTGGTGTTTGATGGTTTAAAACGTAGTGGAAAGGTCAAAAAGCTTGAAAAGTAGGTGCCACACGATTTGACGATCCACAGAAATTGTCATGTTTGAGGTATATTCTTCTTTGCTTGTGCGCAACCAAAACGATCCTTCATTGGATCAGACCGTCAAGTGTGAGGGGAAGTGATTCCTCTGGAATAACAGAAGATATTCAGGCCAGTGGTTGGACACCGATGAGCAACCCAGGCACTTCCCGAAGACAAAAACCTTCCAAAAAAAGACCATGGTTACTGCATGGTGATCAGCGGTTGATGTGATTCAATATAACAATCTCGAACCAAGCCAAACCATCACTGCAGAGTCCTATTGTGAAGAGGCGAATTGGCTGTCCTTGTACATCTTTCACTGCCTGACAAATATGCATGCTGTTTTTGCGAGTGCAATGTCTTGGGATGTGGGCGTTGAGCAACCCGGCCATCGGATGCCTGCTTCCAGGTAGCCCCCTGGATACGGAAATGACAGAATCACTTGTGTTTCTCTTATTCCCTAACTGAATGGCATCCCTTGGGGGCTTAATCCTAAGGTGTGTGTATCCGTGCCGAAAGGATGAATGACACTGATCCTATCAGCTGTCTCTACGGAACCTTCGAGATACTGGGCGCCCTCTCATCGTAGCATAGCCTTGTCACGGCAATGCGGAGCTCTGCNACAGAGGAGATGGATGTCGAACTTACGTAAATTTGTATCAGGAGTAAATTTAGATCAGGAGTGAGAGCTTCTCAACTCTCAAACTCCTGATCCAATAACTGATCCTAATAAAACCTAAACTCAACTTAACTGAACTTTATAAAACCGTCATGCACCAAATTCTTGAGCGGCTTTCGCAAAATCTGTCTCAGGTGGAGGAACAAACCCCCCATGAACAGGTTAGCAAACCTTTGCACTCAAGTGATGATTCACCAAAACCAGAGGCGAAAAGGCCCTGCAAGGTCAAATCTAAGGCATCATCAGGTGTAGCTAACGTGCAAAAACCCTCATATTGGAAGGTTGTCGCGGGTATTAAGGTGGGAATCTTGCACCTTGATTATCTGACTACCTCATTAATGATGAAACAGCAGAGCATATACTTTGTGCCTGCCCCGCTGGGGACCGAATGAGGTTTAAAGAATTTGGCAGGGTAGTACTCTTACCATCTGACCTGGAAGAGCACTCACCATACTAACTAATCGGCTTCGTTAAGAAGCTGGGTTTATTTGGTCTAGTGTGAATAGGTGTGAGCCAATAAACCCTTGCGGGTTGCGGTGGAGGGTTGAATAGACCCAGTCTCTTTGGACCTAACCTAACCTACTGTGAAGAAAACGACGAAACATACCAAAAATTTGTTTCAGCAGTAGCCGTCACTTGTCAACAGAAGATGTCAAATCCTGCTCCAACACAATTCCCGTTCGCACGTTTCACAAATCACCATCCAAAAAGTGATTAAATTAGGCTTCGAAGTTCTGCCTCACCCACCACACTCCTCAAACAACTACTTTTTTTTCAAGCATTTCTCTAACTTTCCCATCGATAGCATCTTCGCCAATCAGCACCAGGCAAAACGGCCTTCGCCGACTTAATCGAACCACGAGCACCCAATTTTCATGCTGATGAAACTTATCGAGTTGTATTACACTGTGTTACACTCATTCAAAGGACGCTTATGTGATGAAATTGAATGAGTTCTCACTGAGATGGTACAGTACACGAAAACGAAAAAATCTTTTGGAACAACAAAATATTTTATCTGTATAACTCACCTCACACCAACAACACTGATATTACTGACTCCATAGGCTTCGATATTCCTAAAAGTGGCTCGATATCCATCTGGACCTGAACCTAAAGCTAGCTGAATCTCATCTATGATAATGGGTTCTGGATCATATATATCTAGTTCTGGAATGCCCCTTCTGATGTTAGCAATGAGGAAGTTCGTAGATTGCCTAAGACATGTGTTAACAGCTTCATCGTCTTTGTAGCATTTCTTGATGAAGTAAGCTGTAAAGTCAGAAATAGTTTTCAACAAATCTCTCAAAAGGAACAAATTTGTATAAAATAGTTCTATTTTACTGCTCAGATATTCACCGGATATTTCAATCTTACATTTTGTTCATGAAAATTCTGACTAGTGTGTCCTATTTTTTTTAAATACCTACAGATTTCATTTAAAATATTGATTTTCCCAACCTTTCAATTCAAATAAATTTTTTTCCAGTAGTCTGTTCAGTAGTCTGATTACAATTGAAAAAAATTGAATAAAAAACTTTCAACGTTTGTTTGAAGGTCATTGACAGTACTGTACCCTCAGGTTTTTCCTGTAAATTATCTTAACGGTTTCTTATTGTGATCATTTGATTTTTTTTTCAATGAAAAAGTGCCCACAAAATCATCTAAAATATTTTCCTAAAATCGAAGCATTCATTAAATGAAAAATCGGATGTAATTATTGGTGTCAAAAAATATTTGTTATCTACAAAGACATAAATATACTTATAATGTACCTCTATCCATTATTATCTATTTGAATTTCTCCTCACTTATATTGCAATTTCTGTCATTGCGAACTTCCGGAATAAAGTACTCCGGGTGTTACCGCTGTGATAGATACTTCGAGGGATTTCATGCAGTGCTTGTGCATTTTCATAAAAAAAGGATACCAAACGGGTCTTATATTTTTTAGTATGGCTGGTTATATCTTTTTAATCCAAGAACAGAAACACTAGATTTATGAGACTATTCCTAAGAGTAATTTTTATTATTCTAGGAAATAATGAATTGATTTTTTTTTCATACAGAATTATTTGTGATTGATGTATTGATTAATGAAGATAATTGAAGTTTTTGATTANATCTGCGGGTTCAACTGATCCCGAAGAAAGTTCTTCATAGAAATGATTGACGTCAATTGATGCATTCCTTGAAATGAAAATCGTCGTCATAGGAATGCTATAGATGCCCCACCCATTTCTAGTAACAATTGATATTCATTCAATTTCTTTGATACGTGAATCCACTGGCAATCATATTCTGGAAATCTGAATCAAACAAAATCATGAACTGTGGTCCATAGTCTATATATTTGAAATTTTCATGGTAATCAATGAAAACTTACAAGATCTCATGTGCACAAAAAACGTGTTTTATTAGAAAAATTATAATTCAGTTTGTGTCAAAAATCTGTTGTATACTGCCAATGAAGTGATTATATAAAGTATTGAATTGAGGTTTTAATTGAGTAAATAATTTTGAAAAAACTCGTAGTAGGTATTTTACAGTGGAATATTTTGAAATCTGAAGACAATGTTCACATATATAGACAATGTATCTGTAATTCCTTCTGCCCGTAAAATTTGTATGATAATTAAAAAAAAAAGAATCTACACAGAGTGAAAATTCATTATTTTCATACAAGTAATCTATCAAACTAGTGGAATCAACAAATGTGAAGTTATAGTGGAAATTGATGCAGCTACCAGAAATCTTCCATATAACAAGAATTCTTGAAACCCTTAAGTATCTCTTCTTATTCCGCCCTTATACCAATGAAACATTTATTTCATGAAAGGGAGCATGGACACATTTTTTACTTCTGACTATTCTAGATGGTCAAAAAAGGCAGACATTGATTGAAGCTTCAGCTGATGTCAAAACATCTGATGGATAACTGTTACGAGTATCTTGTATTGGTTTTACAAAGATCAACTGTCTCAGAGAAAAACTTGCTATGCGCAGCATACACAATCCGTAACAAAATGGTTGAGAAAATTATCGATAAAATTCAAAAATCTGGCTTGAAAGGAGTTGTAAATAAACTTATTCCTGACAGTATAGCCGAGGATATTGAGAAGCCTGCCAGGGTATCTATCCTCTTCAACCGTAGAGTGAATGTTTGGAAGAAACCCCGTTTCGAACTGTCAAGGCTCTTGGAGTTGCATGGTGATGGCGGTAAAGGAGGATCTGATGAACCTGGTGGTGATGCTGGCTCTAAAATTCGTAGGCCTGAAGGTTGTGAACCACCAGTACAAGAAAAAGTTTAAAGAATTTTGTAATATTTATCCAAGAGATACATATCCAAACACGATGGTGTTAACACTAGAAGGAAAGTCGATGTTCTTAATCTCTGTTTCTTCGTACTAGTGACTCGTAGGAAGATAAAAATTAGGTATATAGGTCTTAGGTCTCCGATGCGAAATGATTTTCAAATATTCCAACAGGAGAGCCCCCCGTGGGCGTAAAAGGGGCGCGTTCACATATGAAAATTACCTTTCCATCACTGTTTCTCAGTACTGACCGCTTTATTTAAGGAGGCTGGAATTTTGTATGTAGGTTAGTTTTATGTTGTAGATGTGCAATAAAGAAGGATTTTCGAATATTCCAGGTGAGACACTAGCTGCTGGGAAAAAGGCACGTTTATAAAATTATCTATCCATAATGTGTTAAATATGATCGCTTCTAGAATGAAACTTGAATGAATATTTTCGAAGATATTACAGATTTAAAATGCAGGGACAGCATTTGTTTGAAGGTGATTGACAATGTTTCGTGATGAATTTCACTAGTTCGGACTTCCATTGTCTATTATATAAAATGATTTGAAATCCCTGAAACAAGTAAAAAAGAATAATTANCTCAAACTTATACAGTTTGTAGTAACGGCTACATCCATCAATTTTATGTAACATTATTTTATTATTTGTATTTGTTAATTCAACCACACACATTATTAAACCCTCAGTGGATTTGCAGTTTATTCAGCATAACCTTCTAGGTGTTAATTCTATTTTGCATGCAACATGGATGAATAAATATTATTATTATTATACTAAACCAGTTGATTTATCAATTTCAAAACTACTCAAAAAAATATTGATATCTAATATTTGAATATGAGAAACGGAATATTTTCAGTGGACCATCAAATTGAACTTGACGTCTCTTGTCACCATTGGAATTATTATGTAATCGAAATAATGAACTCTGATTACTCTCGAAATGATTACTTTTACGGGATTTCCCATGTCTTATTTGAATAATTGATTTTGTTTGTAATACTTTCACCTGTGTAATCACTTTCTTCAAGAGGACACTACCAAAAACAGTGAAATAAATATTCCCAATGACGTCACTGGATTTTATTGAGACATGTTTACGAAGAATTAAGGAAATAGAAATTGTATTCCTACGTAAAACACAAAGTGAAAGCATTTTCATGAAATCTACGTCTTATATGCACTACTGTCAGTTGATTCACCAAAAAAACTTATTGCAATTAAAGAACATAATTTAATTACTGTATCGCAATTTCTCTTGTAGTACCGGCTGCATCTATTGGTAAATATTAATTTATGCCTTTCGCCAAATATGAGTGAGAGAATACAAGAGAAACGCTTTACGGGTAATTTGAGCATGAAGAATTTGTGGATCCGTTACACAGTGGCAACCTGGTCTCAGGATTCGAATATCTTATAACGAAGCTGCCCTACATATGAGTAACAGTAAAAAGAACCATTAAAAATTCCGGTACGTTGATCAGGAATATTTTATATCAACTACATCGATTTCATATCATTTCCGGTATTTGAAAATCAGGTGCGGATCTAGGAATTTATTAAGGGAGGCACACTTGAGAAATAATTGGAATAATTGAAAATTTATTTTTTGGGTATCGATAATTTTTCATACACTGCTTCACACTATCTCGATAATCAGAGAATGTGATGCTGTGATATTTTCCTCAGATAGGCTCAAAATGGATGATACCATCTCACAGCATCTGTATTTTCCATACCTGAGAGTACTCTCCAGATAGAATGAAGGGGTTCAGGTATTGGAAGCGAACTATTCTGAGCCGTAATATGTTTTACCTAAAAATGGGGTGTTCAATCGCGAGTGGCGGACAGTTTATATCACTTTGGCCAACCCCATTCAGGTGGTAGGTGCATTTTGAGCATTTCCATCAGTCCTGAGAGTTTCATCGTTCTACCCCGAATATTACGAAAGATACGGGGGTGTTTCCATGAGAAGTGAGACACACTGTAGGTATGACATTGATATTTTATTTTATTTTTTTTCAGCTATTACAACAAATTGTTTTATGTGAGTAATTGTGATCGTGTTATATGTAACATTATGAAAAGAGAAATGAAAATCTCTATGTTTTTTACCACTTTTATTTGTAACTAACGTTACTGCAGTTTCGTCCTATACGGACATTTTCAAACTTATACTTATACAGTTTGTAGTAACGGCTACATCCATCAATTTTATGTAACATTATTTTATTATTTGTATTTGTTGATTTAACCACACACATTGTTAAAACCTCAGTGGATTTGCAATTTATTCATCATAACCTTCAAGGTGTTAATTCTATTTTGTATGCANACAACAAGAGCATTGTTCCGAATTCTTGGGGTTCTTGTTGAATAATCTTCGTGAGCAAAACAATAGCAGAATCCATACTCCTGACCGCTCTGGATTAAATGATTCCGTACAGTCTATCTCTTCTTGTGTTTGTAAATATTTTGGTGAAAAAATCCTCACATGTTTACTTTGTAGTGAATCTTCAAGAGGTAGCAAAAACGTATGTGAATTTCTGGAACATCAACTAGCATTTCCTAATATGACTAATAACCAGTACGTGCAAAGCTTATTGTTAAATCATCTGAAAATGGGACTTTTAACAGGTGATGATCGACTGAATTGCCAAACATGCGCCAAACTAACTGACTGTTATGAGAAAACAAGTATAGCTGAGGCACCAGTCAATCTAATAATAACACTGATGATCTTCAAACGTGACTCAACCTCTGACCGAAGCATGGATAACACTTCGATATATATAATATAATCTTCATGCATCCATCGTTCACTGTGGTTCTGGGGTTGAATCTGATCATTATTACGCCTTGGTCAAAGACGAATCGGACTGGTTTAAGTTTGACGATAGTCGTGTCACTAAGTGTTCCGGCGATGTATTGAATTTATTGGAGCGTCTGGAGACACCCTTTATTTTGTTTTATGAGAGGGAGGACATTGGAAGATCAAGATCTTCAGATGATGTGGTGCTGCAGGTTTCTCCGGATTTTCCTGCAGCTGAAAAAACAAATGCGCCACTGGAATCAATAAAGTCGCCCCAGAACGCCAATTAATTTCTGTTGTTGTTTCATAATTTCATGATTTGTATTTTGAAAGTGTTATAAATTTTGAAATATATAAGTTAGAAAGTTATAAATTTAGTTATCAGTTACGGTTTGGTAAAGGGCTAGAGTGTAGAATTGGCTTAGATCCCATAATTAAACATCTACTACGTCCCCCTGGCTAGATTCGCCACTGTTGAAGATACTGTTATTTATTACCACTCATGAACTCAAACAGTACTCAGTTCAAAACAACTTTAATCTGAAAATTTTGACTTCAACCTCAAAATTTCGACTTGGATCTCGTAATTTCGAGGTTACTACTTTGAACTTATGGAGGCTAAAGTCGAAACTTCGAAATTGAAGTCGAAACTATGAGTTTCAGATCCGTAATTTCCAAAAAGCAAATAAAAATACGAGGTCTGAAACAAATAAGATGAATTTCAATTTTTCTCAAAAAAAAATTCCTTTATTCATCAATTTCTATTTTGTCTCCTTCGAAGTAGTTCCCCTCAGATATAATACACTTTTGCCAGCGTTATATTCAATCTTCAAGGCAATTATGATCAATAATTTTTGGTATATCAATGAGCTCTTTCAGCGATTCAATTTCAATCTCCTCAATCGTCGCGAAACGCCGACCTGTCATTAGTCTTTTCGAACTTAGGAATGGAAAGTTTCGCACAAAAAGTTGGAGTTTTATGGAGTGAGGGGGTTACCACTCAGTTTATTTCAGTCGTACTTATGTAGCAGAACCCAATCTGTGTATGTGAATGGAAACATGTCTGACAATAAAACTATCAAGAATAGTGTACCGCAGGGATCCGTTCTGGGACCATTGCTATTCTTGATATATTTCAATGACTTCAGTCATTTTATGTTTCCAGGTAAATGTGTTCTTTTCGCAGATGACACAACTCTAATAACGTCTCAGAAAAACGTAATCGAATTACCATCAATTACTGATGATTCTCTCAGACATGCGTATCTGTGGTTCACAATAAATCAGTTGAAATTAAATAAAAGTAAGACCTAGAAGGTCTTGTTTATGACCTCAGATACTGAAACCACTGAAAATGGCAATAATACTGTCAAACTACTAGGACTCACTCTTGACCGGAATTTATCATGGTATGCACACATTGATGAACTGAGTAAGAAGCTGTGTGAAATTATATTTGCTTTTCGAAAACTAAATAGAGTATTGTCTCTTGACGCCCTGAGAAGTTCATATTTTGCTTTTTTTCACTCACATATTATTATTGTAATGTTCAAAATGATCTTTCATTTTATTCAAAATTTATGATTCAATATTTTCAACTTGTGACTAGTTTTTTTTCTTTTACTATGTATATTTTAACTGACTTGCAACAAACATTCAAGTGTAAAGTTGTCAAATAAATATATCTATCTATCTATCTATCTAATAATTACTCAGAAGATACTATGTCAATCATGATGAAACTTGGTGCATTTGATAGTAGCAAAAGGGCTTTTTTGATCTAATTTAATTCGAAATAGTGGTTTCAGCGGAGTCGTAGAAGGCTATTTCATCTATATTTTTGGCAAAATTTATTGTATCCCCCTAACTTTATATTAGATGGATGTCAACATCAGATCAAATATTTGACATTACGAATCATGGTCTCGCAAGTTATTGTTGTATAGTGTTTGGTGTTTGAGAAAAAAAGTTATTCCGAGTTATTCTAGGTGTACCTATCAGCCATAAAACAATGATGTGAAAATGCATTAACTCAATGTTGAAGTTGAAAGTGAAGCTGAAATTAACCCCCATATCCCTCTTGAATTTCCTAGATTATTTAAATTCAGGCAAAAAGTTACTCGTGTTAATTACGATGAGAATGAACTATTTTCATATAAATAGATGAAATCGAGTGCACGAATCATTCGTAGCAATTTAAAACGTAATTCTGTTTGTCTAGTTTTTGAAAGAAAGTTTTCAGGTATGTTGTTTGAAAAAGATACCGCATCATTTTCATTTTACTCGGTAACTTGAAATATTAATGAAAAATATTCAAAGCAGGTGTCTCAAATGCAAACTTCAATTTTGAAACAGATTCCAAAATTCTTTGGGTATTGCTAACGACATTATAAGTTTTCATAACACGGTTGCTTGAGCGATTCTCATCCATCTCTGGTATCGTTAAAAAATTTATCTAGGATGTACCAAAATGAATAATCCAAGAGATTCAAATCCGCACATCGTGATGGACACGTCTCAAGTTTTCCAAGATTTATGAGCTGTAGAGCAAAAGTATCAATGAGACTGAAGTGGGTAGGTGATTCGTACAGTATACGCCACATGTTTTCCCATACTATTGAAAGTATTTTTCATAGACCCGGTAGTGTGTCTTCAAAGAAGAGGTATACATCACACCATTGAGTCGAGGTTGAAGGACCTACCTCGTGGACCTACGAGTGTGACACCAGTGATTTCTGCTCAGACATTTAATGAGAACTCCTGCTGAAATCTTTCTACAATGACATAGGGATTCTCAGAATCCCATAAATGATTATTATGACAGTTTCTGGATGGATCTTTTGAGAAACTTGGCTCATCTGTAAACAACATGTAATTTGGGATTGTTCACAAATACTTGGAGATACCCACAACAAAATTTCAATCACTTAGAACCACCCCTTGGCAACAGAGCATGGGCTCGTTTTATGTGGTGTGGATATAGTAACTTCAACTGATATAGAGGCCAGAATTCAATGTTTGCTGCTATTTTTTCACTCCCAAAAGAGGACTCCTTGTGAAAGAGTAGCATTAGACAAATAAGGTCATTTGTCAGTTTTGATGTATCCAATTATCTGACAAATGATCAATTTCAACACGTAACTTTTTGCCTAAACTTGAAGGACCTAGACTGAAGAGATGAGCGGGTTAACAATTCTTTAATCCAAAGTTGGTATTCAACTTTGGATTAAACAACAATTTTCACCATGAATATCAATCAGTTAACTCTTTGCGATGGTACTGAAGTTACTATTTCAAATACAAATACATTAAAAGAAATCCTTTATTACTGTTATCAAATGTGCAAAATTTGAACACTATCGGAGGATATTCAGATATACGACGTTTCAATCTCTCTGATGATCTACTGAAAATTATTAAAAAAAATCACTACGAATCGTCTGACCCACGGCACAAATTGCACGTTCAAAAGTAGGACCTTGTTAATCCTGAGGGGCGACAGTTAGTTGACCAAAAAAAAACTTAACACGTTTTCAATTGACTGAAATCAAATAACCAGTTTTTCAGTGTTTTCACTAAAAGAATTGAATGTCTTCTCTTCGTAAATGAGTTCAACCGAATCATTTAACGGTACCTGATCGTCCAAATCGTGTCAGCAATACCGCTCGCTAGTGAATGAATTTCACTTTCAAGAAAACTATTTCGCAAAAGTTAGAGTACACATGCAAATAAAAAAAACTCCTCATTTTTTCCAAATTGTTTAACATAATTTTGTTTAAAGTGTTTTGGGAGATATATTTTGACCAGAGATTTGTAAACCCCGCTGTTCATTCATACAGACACGTATTAAAAATATTCATTTCATTATTAGGTTTTCCGTATTTTGAAATAAATTTCAGGAATTTTCGAGAAAAATCATTATCTCTACCAATTTTTATGAGTTTTCGTTTTGGCTCTGAAAAAATTAATATTTCAATGAAACTTTCAGTCTGTTGTATTCTCACTCGTCAATTCGATTTAAAATAGGAAATAATATGTTTTTGGCATTCATTGGAAAATTGTCAGTTCAATCCCTATCGAGAAACGATCTGCTGGTTCCATTGTTAAGATTCAGAATATCAATCCGGTATACCTCTGAAAATATCTGACATAAAATCTATTTTTTTATATCCTTTTTCGAAGATACCTTTCTTGGAACTTTTTCTTCCACCAGAATAAAACTGAATTGAACTACTTACGCCTCTGAGAGAAAACGCACTGTATAGCACAAAAAAACACACCAAGAATTAAAAACTTTTTCATTCTATCTACGGAACCAACCAACTTCTTGACGATGACTGACCTCTTTCAGTGGCACTGACCGTGACCGTCGCTGTTCAAGTTGTTGAAGACACGAAGAAGAGGGGACTTCAAGTAGTCCAGTGTGAAGACTGTTGAAGTAAGGGAAGAATATTGAAGATGACGTACTGTTGGGAGTCATGTTATTGAATTATCATGATTATTTTGAGACTAAAATGGTTAATGGATTATTTATTTAAATGTTTTGAAGTTTCTAACTTTCGCACTGGAAGTAATTATTGAAGAAGAGTGGTGCAGTTTACCAACTAGAAATTTTGAATTTTGTCAATTTTCAATCATACACACCATTTTTGGCTTTCTCTTCTCCATCTTNTCATTGATAAAGACAGACACTAACCTTATCAGTATCATAGAAACAGCCATTCGTTTGTTTCATGTCTTATTTTATTATTTAAGTGTTTTTCATTTTTATTATGTGTCTAATGTGTCTGATCTTTCCAAAATAGTTATATTTTTGACAGGATGAAACTCTTTTTCGGTGAGTGATTCATTTAAGGAATTATGATTCCTCATAACATTGAATTGATTACTTGTTTTGGAGGTATGTTTATGAAAATTCATTGTTACAGAACCCTGACAAAGAATTTAATCAAATTAGAAAACGTTGGCGATGAAACAATTGTTTTTTTTTGAGAAAAAGTGATCATTTCACCTAACAATCCCTCCTATAAAATTAACCCTTCTATAAAAAGTATTGGCCAGAAATGTTATCAATATTTGGATCCAAAACTATACAACAGCTCACCTTCGAATATTCAACAGATACATGATATTAACCAATTCGAAAGTAAACTAGTCAGATTTATAAAAAAATTACCTAGAGAGAATGTTTATAATTTAATTTGATTCAATATCATAAGACAAAAGATTGTAATAACAACCCCTAGAATTTTCAGGGGTGAATTCTAAAGTTGGCTTCCTGGTTCGCCCAACTACGTATTTATCAAAGACCTGTCCTTACTCCTGATAAATCCGAGTGTGCAAACTTCACACCAAAGTTTTATACTTGATAATGGGGTCAAACTCGAAGTCGATCGTATAAATAAAATCAACTAGTGGTAATTAGACAAAAGTATTTTCATGCATTTCATTAAAGTGATCATGAATCATCACAAAATAAACAAGTCATCAATCACACATATTTAAATTATACGAAATTCGATATGGAATTGAATCAGGAATCATTCATTAGAACGCAACATAATATAATACGTAAAAGATTTACGGTATGAAATTTTACTTTTATGGAATACTTTCCTCCTCAATGGCTTACGCAAAAGTTTTATTAAATCATCAGCACATATCTAGATAACATCACAAAATGAGGCACTTATTGATTGAGGAAAGGGACATAAGGGGAGCACGGGCCGAAGTTGTCTGTCGGAAGGGGTACCATGATGGTAATCCTAGTAATAAAAAAGTGCACCAGGAGGCCAATGAAGGAATGAACAAAGATAATGTTACATGGAAAGTCAGGCGAGTGAGTAGTAAGAGAAAGAAGTGGAAGGTGATAAAAGAAAGCATCACGGAATAATGGCAGAGAGAATGGGAAAACGGTATGACTGGACGACTGCTCTACAGATTCTGTAGAACAGTCGGGTATGAATCATCGAACCTGTCGAAGAAGGCAGTCCAACTGTTCACGGGGCACAGTAATTTTCCGGGATACCTGGCCAGGTTCAACCTGGGTCAGGAGGCACCCTGTCCATGTGGGTGGGGGGAACCTGAAACGGCAGATCATGTCATTGAGAGATGTATGGACGGAGACAATGTCGAGTGACGAGAATGAAAAGAACGGCTGGAGCGAGAAAAAGGAGCAATGCAACTGAGAGACACGAATGGAAAGAAGTATGAATGGATACTAGTCGCAAACGAATGGGCAGAGAGCGTGGTGAGGGGGGATGAACGAGATGGATGAGAGGCAAGCTGCCAGCTCGCTGATCATAATTAGTAGTGATGGTCTTCCCAATCTGGACAGAACATGTCCAAGGAACACTGTAAGGCTTTGTGGACCTTGAATGTCTAGGCTTTCTGGGAGACAATGTACTTAGCTAGCTGATTTCAATAATTAATGGATACCAATAAAGTAATTATTTATGTATACATACTGTGGTCTATTGGGCTGAGCGTAAAATATCTTGATTCTTTTGTTTTTTTTCTCTTCCTTTTAGGAAATTGTGATATATATTATATAATTGTATCAATTAGAAAAAGGTGATTCAATTTTGTACATACAAAAATTGTAATATGACTTTGAGTTGAATAATTGGGTCTTCTGCCCCCGCTGTTTCGTCCCTTCGTGTGGTCGACGTTATGCGTCGGTGGGGTTGGTGGGGTTGAAAGAGTAGAGCAAACCACCCACTCCAACACCCCAAGCTATCGTCCCACCATATACCATGAATACACACAATTGTTTTAACTGCCCATTAGTATTGTTTTAGTTTATTAATCTTTTTTAAACTCGGTCAAGTATGATAATGAACGTATTTGACAATAATATTTTATGAAATGTAAATAAAAGTATTCAAAATCAATACTGGTTTGGTTTGAAAAAGTTATTGTACAGTCAAACACGTGTTATATCGTCTAAAGGAACAATTCATTCAGGCCAGTCTCAACTCCCCACACTGTAGGTTATTGGACTGAAACCTATCAGAAAACAATCACTTCCCTGGCTGATACCATGAAGAGCGTTGGATTATATCTGACAGGTGTCAGTGCAGGAATTTTTACTGAAGTATTTCCTGCAGTATGCCCACTGACTATGTGTGAAAAGTTTCCTCATACGAGGAATTGGGTAAATTTCGGTTTTTGTTCTCTCACTACCCTCCGACTCTTCCTCTCATGTTTTTTCAATTATCAGTGTTTGATCATCATTAAAATTCCTATAATATGCATTAGCGGTTACAATTTTACTTATAATCCTAAGGTATGATCAACTGTGACATCAGTAGAATGTGTTGCATAACTAGAGGCTGACAGAGTAGCTGTAATCACATTGAACACAGTAAATATATTCTTCTCTTGATTATACTTTTTGTATACACTTTTTCTACCAAAAAAATTCAGGTATTCTTGATGATTATATACCAAAAGAGACACTGGGTTGGTGGTACAAAAATTTCAAACACAATTCTGTGTCCGACAACATGCACTTTTCCCAATCACCGGAAATGCAATACCGTTTTCGACGCTTGTTTCACCAACCAAGTTGGCGTCTTCAGTTTTTTTATATATTCTACTCCAGAGGATTCAGTTATTTCTCTAGTTCAATTATGTGTGTTGAATGAGCTTTCTCATAAATAACTCTTTTTCCAAACGGTTTGTTTGCGTCATGGCGTGATTGAATTTAGACCATCTTCCTGTTGATCGGATATTTGGTACACATATTTAGTTTTGATGACAATACAATTCAATAAATTTTGTATCATTGTAAATCCAAGATGGCCGCAGCTATAAAATGGCGGATTACATATTTTTTCACAACTACCTCAATATGGGTATCAAATGACTTGACTAGTAGAATAGTAGTGCATTTTGAAAAAATGCTAATTCAAGATAATCGCAGTTACAAAATAGCGGATTACATACTATTTTATAATATGGGCGTTTATAATATGGGCGTTATAGTTTGTTGTGGAATTGGCCGCGGTGGTAGTGGGCCCGACTCACGATCGGAAGACCGTGGGTTCGATTCCTGCCTCGACCAGATATTTTTCTCGAGAGAATTCATCTGGATGATTCTGCAACCGTGTTAGGAATCACACGTTAAGAGGTAAGACCTCGTTAGTCCTTATCTGGCACAAGTTTCGCAACTTCTGAGAGTTGTCGTTCGTATGGGGGCGACAGCTGATCAAGGGAAAAACAGATTTCAAACAGACAGATGTTGCGGTCCAATATTGACGTTTTTTTTATTTATTTTTTTAAGGACAAAACACAAGCCTGTGCGAAAGTAGCGATTCACATTGAATTTGAATCGCTGGAGATTAAATCCATTCGAAAAAAGTTTCTCAGGGAGTTTATTTCACATAAACCCAGTTCTCCAGATGAAAGAGTTCTTAAAGAACAGTATGTCGCGTATTTCTGATATGAACCGCTCTTGGTAGAATCAAATGTGCCAAATGCCAAGTCACTTGAACACTTGCCGTTGAAGTATCTATAGAAGAGAGACAAATTTCCAACCCTTCTTCGATGTTTCAGTCTATCAAGGTGGTACGTGATGTTCGCGTCTCCAATTAGGAGGATGGTTTTTTCTGGATGGAATCCAGCGACTTCAGGTATTGTTGGGGTGCAGAGCCTCATACATGAGAGAAATACTCCAAAAAAGGACTGATCTGACCTTTATGAAGCATCAAAAGTTGCTGAGGTTTGTACAGTTTTCTGGTTCGGAACAGTGTTCCAAGGTTTTGAAAAGCAGCCTTTGCATTTTCAGCAACATGATTGTGCCAAGACATATTGGTGTCCATTTTACCCCCCAACAAACTCATTGAAGCAGAAAGCGGAATTGTCTGAGCCGACATTATTGTATCTGGTTCGGAGACATAAATATTTTTGGAGAAAACATATCGAAAGGATTGGTAAACGGCGCTATCGGCTACATTGCAGAAATTGATTGGCCCCAGTTCCGTCGAACGCAAATGTAAACAGATGTACCGTCAGTTCAGATCAATTATGGTACGGCTGAAAGTAGGATATTACCCTTAATTTCGTCATGTGTTTCCATTGAACACAAGTGTGAGGCAGCACTCTAGACGAAGTATTTCCGAATTTAGGCTCCAAATTGTTTGAAGGACAAGTATACGTGGCCCTAACTCGAGGAAGGTTTATGTATTGAGGAGTTAGATAGAAATTCTCGGGAGACAAACTTTGTGATACTGATGAACTAAAAAAAACTTTCACTATTTTGTTCAATTATGTGCACATTTCAAATATTCAACAAGTAAAACATGCATATACATGACTGTCCTAGATGGATCTTTCCACTTCTATGTACTCAGAGTGTACCAACTTTAATCGGCTGTGTACCATAATTACCAGACTTTTCCATTCATAATATTTGAGTATATAATGATTTGTCAAAATCCCGAAGTTGTAGTTCAACAGATTTCATATTGTATGTATGTATGAGAAACTCTATGATTCATATGAAATATCTCCAAATTATTGTATGGAAATTATAAATATTTATATTTTCAGCGCTTGTAATCATCACCGATTCATGATAAATTTAATCGAATAACAGGTCTAACGTATATAATCGTTTTGAAATCCTTTAAATTTTGGTTATGCTGTTGGTTGAACAAGAAGCATCGGGAGAGTGGTTGTTTTTTTGCCAGACAATAATCAGATTCTACTGTGACGAGGTTAATGTTTCGAAATTTCATTCATTTTCTCAGTTATCATATTTTTGCCTTCAAAGCAATATTCTGATGAATATTATTGGGAGAATTCATGAAATTCAACTTCAAACTCTCTCGATTTTAATAAAAATTAACTAGTTTGTACATAAATACATAAATCTATATCTAATCTACCACCACATAAAAACTATCACTTCTTGATTCCTTCTTCAGGTACATAGAACGTATCCATTGGTATATGTGAGAGCAAAGAGTTGCAAATACTCATAAACAATCCAGCGAGTTTCAGTTTCAGCTGTGGCAGCATAACATTGAACACTTCCATACCATTCTGGCGTAAAAATAAATTGATTGCTTGAGCTGAAAAAAAAATGTATCCATAAAGATGGAATCTTTGTTTTTTTATTGAAGAGACACACACTTTTGTCAGTTTTTGAAATTTTGTCATGAAAGCCATGTCCATAAGTTCATGTTGAGTTTTGACATTATATATCTAATGGTATATCTAAATTTCGGATATATTTAACATATGTTTCAAGTAAAATGTCATTTTTCTTTCCCACACCCTGAATTTCATATACATAGAATTTCACTTTGACGTTTGTGAAAAAGAAAGTTTTACAAACTTTTTGATTCACTTTGTATACAGGGTGTTTCAAATTCGATCATCACCATTTGTATCTCGGAAACTATGAGTGATACGAAGACGGTATTGGGGCAAAGTTGCGCATTTAACTGACTAACACTATACCGTTGGGAAAGCTCTGAAATTCCTAGTATATCTGGAGATATCCGGAAAAAACAGAAATTTCGGAAAATGGTTTTTATTTTTTTCCAGCTTTATTTTTCGAAGGATTTGAAAATAAATTACACTTCCACTTCGCCACTCTTTCCTTGCTACATAATGATGTTTTCAGATTTACTATCCAACGTTTTGTCTTCCGGCCACCAGCCTCAACTTAATTTTTCCTCATTGACGGTACATTGGATCGTTTCTGTTTTGAATAGAACTAGATTTTACCTTTTCAAGTTATCATTCTTTTTTAAAATATCGGAGATAGGTATAATTGGAAGTTTCCAAATTTGACTTTCAATTTGTTACACTCAATGACATTTTGCTATTGTACATTTCCGATATCCTAACACTGTTTCTATCGTATATATAATAAATTTGTATCATATCTCTGTTTTCTTCATTCGTGAAAGCCATTTTTCACCAAAAATTCAATGACCTGTACAATAACAAAATGTCATTGAGTGTAATAAATTGAAAGATAAATTTAGAAACATCAAAGTCAAAGCCCATTATGATAAGAATTTTTTTTTCACTATCTCCAATTTTTCAGAAAACGAATGATAACTTATGATACATCATTGGAAAAGTAAAATCTGGTTCTATTCAAAAGGGAAAAAATCCAATGTAGCGCCCATAAGAAAAAGTAAAATTGATGATGGTGGCCGAAATACGAAACGTTGGATAGCAAATCTGAAAAAACATTTTGTAGCAGAGAAAAAGTGACAACGTGAAAGTGTAATTTATTTTAGAATCGTTCGAGAAATGAAGCAAAAAAAATAAGAAACCATTTTCCAAAATTTCTGTTTTTTCCGGATATCTCCGGATATACTCGGAATTTCAGAACTTCCTCAACGGCATATTATTAGTCAGGTAAATGTGCAACTTTGCCCCCACTTAACCATCTTCGTATCTCTCATAGTTTCCGACATACCAATGGTGTGGATCGAATTTGAAACACCTTGTATACACTAATGGGTAAATGATTCATTAATTGTTTTTTTTTATTCAACGGGACGTCCTATGCATTTCTCTAATTTGGAATATGCAGTAAATTATTTTGAAAATCTAGAAGGCCAAATTCTGAAGAAATCGAAATAACACCATACTGGCGTGATAAAAAAAACTTGGTTTATAATTTGAGTTGTCACCTGTATTTTATAGATTCTATGACATATCTTAGAAAGAAGTGTCTTCCACTTCTTGGTAGATAAGTCGAGCTCAGCCCAATACAAAATAAGCAAATAATATATCAACCTCTGGTAGAGACGACTCTGTGAAGACGATTTTGAGTTTTCATTCTTCGCAAAGAATATGTTTCATATATAGACCATTTTCTCTATCACTGATATCAGTAACCATGAAGAAAGCTGTATTTAATGTATTACTGAATAGGATACGCCACTGTTTTTGTTTGATATATTTTATATTTTCTTTTTATGCGTTTACTAAAAGATCAAGTAGTTGTGTTTGGGAAACTGGTCTGAAGGGTCATTATAATCTTATTCCAAGTGTGTATGTACATCAGTAATGTTCATTGATGAATAAACCTTATTCGGGAAATAAATGGTTTTCTTTTTCCTCGAACGTATATATCACTGTTCATCAGCATATTCGGTCAATACTCGATGAAGATCCATAGTAATTTCATAAACTACAACTCACGACTTTATCTCCACAAACTTTATTTGGAAAATATATCACATGATTCACTAAGATAGTAGCTTCTTCAACAGCGATTTGAATAACTTGTTTGGCCGTTACTTGATGAAGATCCCTATTATTCGAATCACTGGTAAACAAACTACTGTGTTAGCGAAACATGTAATATATTTTTCAAATAAATTTTGTGGAGATCAAATCCTGAGTTGTAGTTTATGAAAATACCTAAGCAATCGTCAATACTCAACTTCCTATTACATGTCACCCTTTTTGGAACAATCAAGTCTTCTCACGTGATGGTTGAGTATTTGAACCTGAAGCTACACATTACCGAAATTTTTATGATTATAGCTTTTTAGCTTCTTCGAAAATCGTTCCTTAAATTGGTACTCTCTTAGATATTTTGAACATCGAAGCTGGTGTTTCTCAGGAATCCACATACGATTCAATCATTTGTTTCATACTGATAGATTTTGAAGAAAGTGACCTTGTCTATGAAGTTTGGCTTATTTTTCCATTCATAGGAGTATGAAACTAGATCACAGCTCATCTAACGTAAGGCTTATCCACTCGGTTTGAGATGACTAGTCGATATAACTTCTGTATCATTTCCTCTGGTCTTATTTTTATTTTCCGGAGACAGTCACATATGTTCGAATCTTTATTGACTATAACACAACCTCCAAACTTTTCAATTATTTCCCAAAACCCTATCCTACAACTTTTTGATAATAAAATCATACTCACTCAAAATCATGTTATTTTTGTAAATATTCTTCACTTCCAAGCCCACATCCTTGACATCTAGATCCACCGTCAATGTATCAACGTGCAGATACTTCTTTTTTTCTTTTACTTGTACACTAACAGTCCCTCTCACAGTGGCAAGAATGTCATCTGTAAAAAAGTGGTAACATTCAAAAGATAAAATTAGTTCGACCTTGTTCCATCGATGACAATTTTTTTGTGAAAATTTATATTGAATATAGGATATACAAAATAACTCCTGTCTAATTTCCATTAAGTAAAAATTTGACAAAAGTTATTTTTTTTGTCCCATATGGAATCAGTTATACCAATAGATGAAATAACCTTTCTTTTGAAGAGTGGTCTACAAGTTTAATTTTATTTTGCTCCACCCAGATATCTTACAGCTCGTGTTGGTAGAATAAAAACAAAAGTTGATAGTTGTTTGCAGCATACATCTCAGAAAAAGGCGGGTTGACTGTCCTTGTTCATCTTTCACTGCCTGAACTACTGTGCATGCTGTTTTCGGCTATTGCATTGGCTTGGGATGTGGGGGTTGAGCAAACCGGCCATCGGATGCCTGCTTCTACGTAGCCCCGCTGGATACGGGAATGACAGAATCACTTGTGGTTCTGTTATTCCCTAACTGAATACCATCCCAATGATGGCTTAATCCTAAGGTATGTGTATCCGTGACGAGAGAATGAATGACACTGAGCCTATCAGCTGTCTCTAAGGAACCTTCGAAATACCGCGCGCCCTCTCGTCGTCGCCTTGTCACAGTAATGTGGGACTCTGTCGTGATTGACATTTTTTCCCTAGCTACTCGTGGGACTTTTATGGACAGAGCAAACTTAAAAATTCTTTCTGACGCTGAGTCTATAGAGGAGATGGATGTCGAGCTTACGACTCCAACTAACCTCCCTGTAAATTCAATTCAGGAGCGAGTCTGCAGAAGAGATGGATGTCGAGTTCACGACTTCAACTGACCTCCCTGTGAATTCAGTTCAGGAGCGGAAGCTTCTCAACTCCCCAACTCCTGATCCAATAACTGAACCTTAAAATAAAAGTTTGGTGGTGCAGCCAGAAAACGACTGAGTCGTCTCCTCAAGAGCGGGGTACCTTATAAAACCGCTTTGCGCTCAATTGATGATTCACCAAAACCAGAGGCGGAAAAGCCCTACACGGCTGAATCTAAGGCATCGTCAGGTGAAGCTGACGTGCAAAACCTGCATATGGGAAGGTTCTCACGGGTATCAAGGTGGGAATCTTGCAACTTGACTATCCGACTACGTCATTAACGATGGAACAGCAGCGCATATACTTTGTGCCTGCCCCACTGGGGACCGAATCAGGTCTTTACGTAGGTATGGCTTTGCCGAACTCTTACCATCTGACCTGAAACACCACTCATCATACAAACTAATCGGCTTCGTAAAGAAGCTGGGTTTATTTGGCCGAGTGTGAATAGGTGTGATTCACAATAAGCAACCCGATGATAATTTTGTCTTAAGTGTTCTTACATGTTTAAATTTCATCTCTTGATCTATGTTCATGCCTTAGAATTTGGTAGTGATATTTTTATAATAGCGTCATTTCCCAGAATTAATTGAGGTAACATGCAGTCAGGAGTTGAAATCAAACCAATCTTGAGCAAGATCATGGAAATATTCATGTGGAGATATCTCTCGTTATGGTTATATGGTGATGTAAAGTTATATCTATCATCTGCGAATAACGTGAATAGGCTTATGATTTTTAGACTGGCAAGATCATTGAAGATCCATAGTAATTTCATAAACTACAACTCACGACTTTATCTCCACAAACTTTATTTGGAAAATATATCACATGATTCACTAAGATAGTAGCTTCTTCAACAGCGATTTGAATAACTTGTTTGGCCGTTATTTGACGAAGATCCATAGTAATTTCATAAACTACAACTCACGACTTTATCTCCACAAACTTTATTTGGAAAATATATCACATGATTCGCTAAGATAGTAGCTTCTTCAACAGCGAACAGTCACGTGATGGTTAAGTATTTGAACCTGAAGGTACACATTACCGAAATGTTTATGATTATAGCGTTTTAGCTTCATCGAAGATCGTTCCTTAAATTGGTACTCTCTTAGATATATTGAACATCGAGGCTGGTGTTTCTCAGGAATCCATATATGATTCAATCATTTGTTTTATGATGATAGATTTTGAAGAAAGTAACCTTGTCTATGAAGTTTGGCTTATTTTTCAATTCATGAGATTATGAAACTAGATCACAGCTTATTTAACGTAAGGCTTACTTACTCGGTTTTGGATGACTAGTCGATATAACGTCTGTATCATTTCCTTTGGTCTTTTTTTTATTTTTCCGGAGACAATCACAATTGTTTGAATCTTTATTGACTATAATACAATCTCCAAACTTTTCAATTATTTCCCAAAACCCTATCCTACAACCCTTTTTTAATAACATTATACTCACTCAAAATCATGTTATTTTTGTAAATATTCTTCACTTCCAAGCCCACATCCTTGACATCGAGATCCACCGTCAAAGTATCAACGTGCAGATACTTCTTTTTGTCTTTTACTTGCACACTAACAGTCCCTCTCACAGTGGCGAGAATATCATCTGTAAAAGAGTGGTGAAATTCAAATGGGGAATCAGTTCAAACTTGTTCGATAGATGACAATTTTTTTTGTGGAAATTTATATTGAATATAGGATATACAAAATAACTCCTGTCTAATTTCCATTAAGTAAAAATTTGACAAAAGTTATTTTTTTTGTCCCATATGGAATCAGTTATACCAATAGATGAAATAACCAAAATATATAATTGAAAAATTCATTTTATATTTTTTTTTCAATTCTGTATTTCAACTCGATTTAATTCACTGAGTAGCGGAAGTAAGTCAAACACCGTGCTCACTTTTCCTATGATATTTGCATATTTGCAACATAAAGTGTCAAATAATCCTTTCTGTCCCCATTTGAGATTTTGATTCATTTTCAAAATGTATCCCTAAGTTTTTCTTGAATTTAGATTGGTTGTTAGTATTTCTGAGGGTGGTAACATATTTTTAATTGAATAGAACTGGCCCATAGGTACTTTAATCCATATTAAATTTCACTTATACACCTTATTGTATGATTTTCACTATAATCGAATCCTTCACTACGGAGAATGATGGTATAGGCAGCTGAAGCTGATGTGTGATAGGTACGTGATAGGAAAGTGATAGGTACGTACTTTTATTTTTGTGTATTAGACAGGAAATTTCGAAAACAAATAAGGATAATACCGTTAGAAAAGTGCTTCTTTTGAAGAGTGGTCTACAAGTTTAATTTTATTTTGCTCCACCCAGATATCTTACAGCTCATGTTGGTAGAATAAAAACAGAAGTTGATAGTTGTTTGCAGCATACATCTCAGAAAAAGGCGGGTTGGCTGTCATTGTTCATCTTCCACTGCCTAAACTACTGTGCATACTGTTTTCGGCTAGTGCATTGGCTTGGGATGTGGGGGTTGAGCAAACCGGCCATCGGATGCCTGCTTCTACGTAGCCCCGCTGGATACGGGAAAGACAGAATCACTTGTGGTTCTGTTATTTCCTAATTGAATGCCATACCAATGATGGCTTAATCCTAAGGTGTGTGTATCCGTTCCGAGAGGATGAATGACACTGAGCCTATCATCTGTCTCTAAGGAACCTTCGAAATACCGGGCGCCCTCTCGTTGTCGCCTTGTCACGGTAATGCGGGGCTCTGCGTGATTGTCCTTCTTTCCCTAGTTACTCATTGAACTTTTATGGACAGAGCAAACTTAAAAATTCTTTCTGCGCTGAGTCTATAAAGGAGATAGATCTCGAGTTCACGACTCCAACGGACCTCGCTGTAAATTTATTTCAGGAGGGAGTCTACAGAGGAGATGGATGTCGAGTTTACGACTCCAGCTGAGTTCCCTGTAAATTTAGTTCAGGAGCGAGTCTACAGAGGAGATGGATGTCGAATTCACGACTCCAGCTGACTTCACTGTAAATTTACTTCAGAAGCGAGTCTGCAGAAGAGATGGATGTCGAGTTTACGACTCCAACTGACCTATAAATTAAATTCAGGAGCGGAAGTTTCTCAACTCCCCAATTCCTGATCCAATAACTGAATCTTAAAAAATGGTTTGGTGGTGCAGCCAGGAAACGACTGAGTCGTCTCCTCAAGAGAGGGGTTCCTTATAAAACCGCTTTGCGCTCAATTGATGATTCACCAAAACCACAGGCGGAAAAGCCCTACACGGCTGAATCTAAGGCATCGTCAGGTGTAGCTGACGTGCAAAAACCATCATATGGAAAGGTTGTCGTGGGTATCGAGGTGGAAATCTTGCAACTTGACTATCCAACTACGTCATTAACGATGGACCAGCAGAGCATATGCTTTGTGCCTGCCCCACTGGGGACCTGCCACTGGGGACCTTACCATCTGACCTGAAACACCACTCATCATACAAACTAATCGGCTTCGTGAAGAAGCTGGGTTTATTTGGCCGAGTGTGAATAAGTGTGACTCACAATAAGCGACACGATGATGATTTCTTGTTAGTGTTCTTACATGTTCAAATTTCAGATCTTAATCTATGTTCATGCTTCAGAATTTGGTAGTGATATTTTTATAATATCGTCATTTCCCAGAATTGATTGAGGTAACATGCATTCAGAAGTTGAAATGTTCGCTTTTTTTTAAAGTGATACAAAAGATTTGCATCAAACCAATCTTGAGCAAGATCATGGGAAATATTGATGTGGAGATCTCTCTCGTTATGGTTATACCTCAGTAATGTAAAGTAATATCTATCATTGGCGAATAACGTGAATAGGCTTATGATTTTTAGACTGGCAAGATCATTTTTATACATATATTAAAACTAGTAGTGGCCCCAAGATAGGACTTTGGAGCACACCTGTAGTTACATCCAGTGTGCTAGAAATTGAATGGCAAGTCTTCACATATTTTTTCCAGAAATTTGGTGAAATTAAGTTATTGCCAACATATCGAACGTTTATATCTACCTAAGTGTCCATTGAAAGTTCCATTTCCACTAGCAGGTAAAATAATCAATACACCGCTGCTCTCATATCTTGATTCAATTTTCAATAGGGGTATTTTAGTTTCGAAGGGTTGTTTATCTGTACTCAACCTGCAAAGTAGAAAACAAAAATCAAAACGTGGCAATAATTCAATATCCAACAACTTCAAATATATATTGAGAAAATTAAATGTTTTTTTGAATAAGTGGGGGAAATTAAATTATTCACTGAAAGATTCCACATACTAAAATTCTAGATCATTACAAACACATTGTTTATTGTTGCCGCGACTGATATTGAATATTATCGGGGATCTTTGTCAAGGATTAAACTGAGAATATCTACATATGTCAATATAAGTGAATATCTATAAGTTACTGAGATCTCTCATTCCACCAGCTCAACAGAAATGATATCAAAATATCCTTTTCGAAATGTGACGGATAACTGAGTTAATGTCAGTCGGCTTCAAGTAACAGAAAAGAAGTGCTCGATATGATATCAATTTTCTCGTTACTTACTTCAAGGTCCTGACAGTGAATTGACTGGCACCGAAAACATCAATATTCTTCAAAGAGACCTTATACCCATTTGGTCCTGTTGTTAGAGATAATGATAACTCTTCCATTTTGAACGGTTCAACAGAAGGCAGTTCAATTTCTTTGATTCCCTTTTTCAAGTAGGGTCGCAGGTGATGAATCGCTTCTTTGAAACACTCTATAACCTCAGGGTCTCCTTTGTGACATTGTTTGATATATGGCGCTGCAAAAATACAATGTTAAAAAAAGAAAACACTGTTTTTCTGGCATTAAATTTTATATCTTTTAATGTCCAAAGATCATTCATTTAATAAAATGATGGATTTAGCCGTTACTACGTAGTGGGAATTCATTAAGGTAGGTACGCCCGGTTCCTAATAAGGCCCATACCCCCTTAATCCCCACTATTGGCAAATAACCGCAATATGATACAATGTGTAAACCCAATAGAGCCATCTAGATGCAAATATTTACACTAAGTTCAGCAGAGATACCAAACGTGGCTTTTATACGATCATTCGTTCACGTGCTTCCATGGTTATACATCCAATATAATTTTGAGGTTAGTATGCCATTCAAAAAATATAATATGCTTATATGTGCGATATTTTTTTAATGTGCATGTCATTGGTATACTTGATTGTTGTTTTTTCATAATATATATATTACCTCAGGTTTAATGAAACGTAAATAATTCTAATGTCCAAAAAACATTGGCCACTGACAGTGTTGCTAATAAGGCCCGGGTGTTAGGACCACTACATTAATTCGTTTTGTAAGTCGGTAAACTTTGTTTCAGAGAGACTATTGAAAAGTTTGAGATGCCCAGAGGTTTATGGCCTTGCAAGCAGTCAAAAATGGGATGTCAGTAAGAACAGCCGCCAAAGAATTCAATATTGCCCGTCGAACACTAAGAAATCATTTGCTTAGTGGAAAAACGGAAAAGAAACTTGGCCGTCCTTCATGTTTCACACTTGAACAAGAATCTGAGTTGTGTGAAAGAATTTTTAGGCTAGCTGACGTTGGAATGCCCTTAACATCTACATTGATGAGGCGTTCTGTCCATGAATATTGCTTACGAAACGGAATACCTGCACCTTTTACCGATAAAAACATAGCTGGTCGAAAATGGCTCAAACTTTTCCTAGGTCGGCATTTCGAAGTTGTTAAAAGAAAATCGCAGTTCATGAATCCAGCTAGAGCCGCCAAATTAAACAAGTTCATAGTCAATGACTATTTTGAAAAGCTACGAGAAGTTATGTTGAAGCTTGATATCCTGCAAAGCCCTCAAGGCATTTTTAATATTGATGAGAAAGGTTGCCGCCTAAATCTTCATAAATCACAACAGGTATATGATCATTGAGCTCATTTGATTTCTCAAGAACATGCTGAGAATGTGTCAATTGTCAGTTGTGGAAATGCTATAGGACAAATGATTCCAGCTATGATATTGTTCAAAAGAAAAAGAAAGAAGAATTAATTACAAAGAGGAATGAAAAATTGAGTAAATAACACAAAAAGTTACAAATCATGTTACAATGTTACAAGTTACAATGTTACAGTACTGACACAAAAGTTATTTATAGTATTATTATAAGCGATTATGGATACAAGATACCAAGGCGTTCAGAGAGTCAAAATGAATATCGCAGTGTTCACATATTTTATTGAAGCTACTGCACATAAAATTCAATGGTGATCGTAGCATGATATTTGTACGTGATGCTTCGCAATAGAATTTTAGATTGTGTCGACCTTCACTTCTTGGTACTAAGAAATTGATCTCGGGTAAAAGAACCGTACTGTCAATATTGTTTTTGAGTAATTTATGCAGGAATTTTATACCAAGGATAACTCTCCTATTTTCCAAAGATGTCATATCAAATCGTGTCAACAATATGTTACGATCGATGCCTCTCGTAGGGTATTGACCATCAACTTTTAGACATAAGTATTTCAGGAACTTCCTCTGTACGCTCTCAATTGATGATCCGCCTTGAATAAAGGTAAGAAACCGGATACCCCTACAGGAAAGCTTCCTCACTTGTGCACCTCCAAGGAGGGAACCCCAAGAAGGTTGAAGAAGCCGCGCAACGACAGTAATGTCGCTGCACCTTCCAAAACCTTTACGTAGACCACTCTGAGACACTTCAAGGTTGCCAAAGAGAGTGTCTGTTCGGCGAGTTTTGGCATACACCTGCCAATATAAAGGAGATGTCTCCTAGTGACTTGTCCACCTTCCTGGAAAGGACAGGAGGTACGATGACCTAGGAGGACAACTCCTCGGGAGGATGTACAATGGGTCACGTGTGGCCTAAGTGCTGTTGTACAACTTTTTATTAGCGTTGTCAAAGTCATTAACATCGAAAGGGTGCAATCATGTAAGTACTATCTAATGGTGGTTAAACCCATGATAACATACGAATCTCTGGTCTGTTGGCCAAAGATGAAGCAGGCGACCGCCATCAACAAACTAGGCAAGGTGCAAAGACTTGCATGTTTGGGAATGACGTCTTGCAGTGTGCAAGGCTTATTAAATTGAGACCTCAAAGAAACGAGCGGATCAATATGTTTACAGACAACAAGAGCGCACTAGGGGCTCTGACAAACCCGAAGGTGACATCAAAACTGGTCTGGGAATGCCATGAAAAACTGAATGAACTTGCAAACAGGAACAAATCAACTTTGTACTGGGTGCGAGGGCATTCAGGAATCACAGGTAATGATAAAGCTGATGAATGCGCTAGACGCGAATCATCAACTTCATATATAGGTCCTGAACCCAAAATCATTGGTACGAAACCAGATTAGGACATGGACCAATAAGAAGCACACAGAGTACTGGAAAAAGTATCTGGCAACAAACACAGTAGAACCTTCATTAGGGAACCGTCCCAGCAAAGAACCAAAGAACTTCAATATAGTAGCGATCGGCTCAGAATAATTACAGGGTTACTAACCGGTTATTGTCCGATTAGAGGACACCTCAATAAAATGGGGCTGTACAACGGAGACCACATCTGCAGATTATGCAACGAGCAACAGCTCGCATTTCATGCGAATGTGAGGCACTGAATCACAGGATGCTGGACGCACAAAATCACGCCCAGAAGAATATGACGAACATCCAACACGGAACCTGCACAAACTAGTACAGGAAACGAGACTGATGGAATGGGTGTTGAGAAGATGGGAGAATAAATGAAATAACCCCAAGAGGCTGCAGTGTTTTCTGGAGACTTGGACTAAATGGACAAGTCAGACAGCTCCCAAGGTACAAAAAACAAGTACTCTCTAGAAGTGATACATAACTATTGCAAAACTATAATTACTAATCACCACTTCAAATACAGTTTAAATTTCACTTCCTTGGTGCAGTGGATGATTCGTATTAGTGAAAGTAATATTTTCCACTCACTCCAATTTCTTATGGCTAGTCTTAATAATAGTACTTCAAGCACGATTGACAAAAAAGTAATCATAATGAGTGAAATCACTACGCAGGCGATGCGGAAAAAGAAATTATAGTACGTATGCCAATGTATAGTAAGTATTGAACGAACGGAAGGGAATAGAATGTAAGAAGAGTTTTAAAAATGTGACATCGTTATGTGACTAAAGTCTGAAGAAATTGTTGTATTTGATTCAAACGCATAGGAGCGTCTTTCTTTGATTAAAATAGTATGTAGATACTTGAAGAAGGAATATAGTAGGGTATATTACATAAGTCGATAATGCTTTATCTAATCTCCCATCAAAATATCCTTTTTTAATTCTAATTGAATTCAGAGAGCAATAAATTAGCACCCTTGACCTTCAGGTACGAAACGATAGGAACGACTGCGTTGTTTATTATTTTTATCAGATGTTCAGTAAATTTATAAAAGCTTTCAAAATATAATATGGTTTTTTTCAAAGAAATATGAATTTTCTGTCATTCTTAAACATCCAAAAATATTCGATTCGATGTAAATAACACACGGACGCTACTGGCAATCAAAAATATTATGTTTATCAGCAAAAAATTCCATCTGATGTTCAACATATGCTACGTGTTATAAAAATATGGAAGGCCTTACCAAAGTTATCATGCATGAAATTGCAATATCCTTTAGTTCTAAATTTGAAAAACTCAACTAAAGTTCACATGAATTGGTTTTTCAAATTCTACCCAAAAATTATCATCTTCGAATATTTGAAAGTTATAAGGAAACACCCTGTACGTAAGAGTTATCCGATTCGAATAAAATGAGACATAATTTTTACTTAAAAAATTACTACCTTTAATTCAACTTTTTGGAAAAACATTTTTTGGTTTTCTATTTCTCCATCTCATTACAAAAATTTTGAAACACTTCCTAAAGAAGAAAAAAACAAGTTCGGAAGAAACTTCTCAAAAGAATATAATAGGAAGTTACTTTCAGATACAAACAGGAAAAAAATCTTTCCAAAACAACTACTTTCATATGAACATGGAATCACTAGAACAAACAAATAGATACTTTCGAAATAACTACTTCAATGTAGACAATAAATTGTATAAAAATAACTTTTTTCTACAAATAAACGTATGATTGTCTTTACTTACTGTCTTCGTGACATGAATAGATTTGTCAAATCTGTGACATAAAATCGTAACAAATGATTGCTTCATCATAATGAGGCAATAAGATAAGTGTCTCATTCCGAAACATCGAAGTCCGCCATTGAGGATGACAGTATTTCATGTACATGAAATTTTATATCACATCTCTTTCACATTTTATATTGTGTTGCATTCTTATAAATGATATTTGATCCAATTCCATAAGCAATGTTTCGAGTATGATGTGAATAGGAAAAAGGTGGTTTTCATATAATTCAATGTTCATTTGAAAGTAGTTGTTTCTAGAAGGTTTTTTTCTTCATTTCTCAAATAAACTTCCTTGTATTATCTACAAACTTTTGGAGTTGTTTTGAACTTGATTGCTATCTTCCTTCCTTTGAAAGTTTTTTACAATTTTTGTATAAAGATGAGAAGTCGGAAGTCAAAAATATTTTTTCCATGAATCTAGGCATATTTGAACCGACAATTTTTTTTTAAATACATAAACATCCTTTTATAAGACTGTGAGATAATACTGAAAGAATGAAATTTTTCACTGATTCAAAACTTACTCGAATGAAAAATGATAATTTGGGAATTTTATTTCTCGCTGCGTATCTGAAAGTATGAATGTTTGA